CGCACTTTTGTTTTAATGGCACTTGAAGGCACAAAATACTAAACTTTCTGAATGTCTAGTAAAGACCACAACCGAGACCGATTTCAAAACATAAGATCAGTGTATTGTATTTGTGGGTGAAGCAGTATTATAACCATATTGCTTTTATTACTTCTTCAAGAACCAACACAGTGGACTGCTTGCTTTTATGTTTTGAACGGTGCACGGACGCTGATACATTCCACTTTCTAGTAGAGCAAAGATTCGTTTTTCTGAATGAATGCTATTCGGATGGTATACAACTGCTGGGCTGCATATACCAGTTTCGTTTTCTGTTATCCAACTTAGCGACATTCGTACAAAATCAAAAATAGATTTAACGAAACGAAATAACAAATTTGTAATTTAATCAAGTTGATTTGAAACATAATATTTGGACTTTTAGCCCCAAACACATATTCGAAGTATAAATTTATTGCATAAATGATCTTGATTTCTTTTCACATGTAGGCCTATTCAATCGCCATTCATTGCAAGCTAATTCCGGAAAAACAAAAATTCACGGAATCATCCGAACATATTATAGATTCGATCAAGTACATTTGCCTATTGCCGAGTTGGTTTCTTGTCCAAATATCATTTTCAAACCCTTCACAAGTGTCCATTTTTCACTTCTTAAAAATTGTTTTAATTTGTTTTTAGTTAATTTAGTAATTGACTTCATTAAACCTCATAACGGTGATGCTGTTGTTATTTTAGATTTAAACAGGATGTACAAGATGTGAGTCAGTATCTACAATCTCCAGTGAGACAGAATGCCCGTTCCCGTAACCTGACAGAAAAAAAAATTTAGTCGGTTATATTGTTATCAACGAAACTTTTCAGTCGAAATTGAAATTCGATTCGGTGTAGGTTTAAATGTCGAGATTGAATCACAATCACCGAGAACTCACGATTATAGTATTGTGGAGTGTGGCTCTACTCACAGCACTTTACTGCTGTGGTCTGAATGTTCGTTGGTAAACACGTCCGTTATTCCCCTTTAATTGTCTTCTTAAAACACTTAATCTTCACATTGCAAAACATTCCAATGCGTTTTATACTGAACGAGTTTGTAAAATCAATAAGCATGCACAGCATAGCCTACAGTTTGCTTTTTCAATTCCATTGAACGCTTTTAACGATTTTCAACCTGAACGCATTACAACGTTTATTTATCCACTTTTATGAAACGACATGAAATTACATAGTTTTTTAAAGTAAATGTTTCGTTTTGTATCTATAACTTTCAGTTTTAACTCTTATATAAAGAAATTATACATGGATTTGGTGATATGCAACAGCAATATTTTAATAAATCCCCACGTCATGCAAAAGGCTAGAAAACATCTTTTGAATCCTTTTCATAATACTTGAAATCGTATCAGTGAAGATCTCTTTAGATTATTTCAGTCACACGCCAGTCAATTTCTTGTTCAATATTTGACGGGTGACAAGGGTTAAAGATGTAATTTGATTGTCAATAGCCGGCTACTCGAATCTCTTGTTATTGAAATATTAATTCTAAATATTTGTCAATATTGACTCGGTCTTAGAAAATCAACAAAGTCGACACATACATCGGCTCTCGGCTGAAGTAAGACGCCATATTGTCCAATTTCTAGGGAGACCTGTGATAAATATGAATTTAAGAACTTTAAAATACTAACCTAGAGTGTCTTTCTGGCACAGAAATCAGCCCTGTCTTCATTTGCTATGCTTCATCCCAGCCCCACTGAAATTTATCCTTACCCTGTAAGTACCTTCGGCGAAAGTGCGGAGTGCAATGGCTCAACTAGATGAGTTTAATCCAAGATCGATCTTCCATAAGCTTTGTATCTATAAACGTAGATTCCTTAAGTCACAATTGCAGGTGGGAATTATTGTCGCTACCATATGTTTTGGCACCCTTTTTCATTGGGACAAATTGTAGTCGATCATAGACTCACAGCAAATATCAAATAAAGTAACCCCAAGTTTTATGACTACAATGGCTGACATTCGTTATGCCCAGAGAGACATCTAGTATTACCTAGTGGTGACGAGAGTAATAGGTGTTTGTAAACTATGTTAAAGTTAATTCAAACCCTCGCCTTGTCGTCGTCTGTCGGACCACACAATAAACATCGTCATAATCCGCTCCTTATTAAATTTGTCTCACACAAAACTGTGAAATTAAGGCACAAAGCGTACCCTATCTCCCCACAATGGTTTTCTTAATTAGAATTATGAAATATATTCATCTGGAAAATTAGTTTCAAATATTTGTGACTCGTCGCTTAACTTCAAAGACATTTCGCTCCGTTATTTCCCTTTTTTGCATTCCATTTAGGATAATGCAGAAAAAAAATCTTTTTCGTTTCTTATTATTCTTCCGGACAACGAACGGTATCAGATTTTGATGTGTCGTTTTAATTAACCTATACAGAACGCAATCAAAGATCGTTTTTCTGTTTAAGTATATCGTAATACAATTGATGAACAATATACGTAACTACAGATGTCACTTCCCACCATTTCGATTCTCGAATAAGCTCTTTCATCCAGCAGTACGAATACAATGAAGTAAAAAAGAGTTTTAATTCCTTCCATTCTGGCCTAATAAGTCTAACATCAGAGAAAAGAGATATATTGTATATACCAAATAAACATTAGTAGCAATGAGCACTCTCTGACAGAGATAACTGAGTTGACATATTAGTCGCAGGTTGACATCAGTTGAGGGCATATTTATGAATCATTGGGTGTGGTCGTGTGAGTATGTTGGGAGCAATTATTCCAGGGTAAAAAAGCGCCACGTGTTGACGTGAATAGCTAGCTGAGACAATCACACATTTTTTTTCTCAGAAAAATTGAAACCCAATCGCGACATAGAACCAATTAACTCGACCATCTTGTTTGTTGATAGAAAATTGATAGTGAAAAATATCAAAAAACTTGATGAAAAGTTCTTTCAGCATTGTTATCAGACACACTTATCAGATCTGAACTTAAACCTTTGACCTGGTCTCAGTTTTAGGCGAAGTTATCTGACGAATGACAGGTAATCGATACCAGCTACGTTTTTTCATGGTTTTAATTTCGAATTTTGGAAAATAACCTCAACATTTACAAACTGTCTTGAGTACGTGTATACGAAAAAAATATTTTATATATTCTAAATGATGGTCTAACTGTTGTACTATTATCAGTTTATAAAAACACCATGCGTCACCTTACTCTAGGTTATATTCTAAATGGTTGTCCACCGTTGTACTATTATCAGTTTATAGAAACACCATGCGTCACCTTACTCTAGGTTATATTCTAAATGGTTGTCCACTTTTGTACTATTGTCTGTTCATAGAAACACCGTACATCACCTTACTCTAGGTTATATTCTAAATGGTTGTCCACTGTTGTACTCTAGCACATTAGCAATCTATTATCAGTTTATAGAAACACCATACATCACCTTACTCAAGGATATATTCTAAATGGTTGCCCACTGTTGTACTATTATCGGTTTATAGAAACACCATGTGTCACCTTACTCTAGGTTATATTCTGAATGGTGGTCCACTTTTGTACTATTATCAGTTTATAGAAACACCATACATCACCTTACTCTAGGTTATATTCTAAATGGTTGTCCACTTTTGTACTATTGGCTGTTTATAGAAACACCATATATCACCTTACTCAGGTTATATTCTAAATGGTTGTCCACTGTTGTACTATTATCAGTTTATAGAAACACCATGCATCACCTTACTCTAGGTTATATTCTAAATACTGGTCCTCTGTTGTACTATTTTCTATTTATAGAAACACCATACATCACCTTACTCTAGGTTATATTATAACAGTTGTCCACTGTTGTACTATTATCAGTTTATAGAAACACCATGCATCACCTTACTCTAGGTTATATTCTAAATGGTTGTCCACTGTTGTACTATTATCTGTTTATAGAAACACCATACATCACCTTACTCTAGGTTATATTCTAAATGGTGGTCCACTGTTGTACTATTGTCTGTTTATAGAAACACCATTACTTTGGGTTATATTCTATGGAAACACCAGACATCACTATGTATTCCAGAGGGTTATCCACAGGTGTTATTTTGCCAGTTTATAGAAACACCAGACATCACCTTTATCTGGATTATATTCCAGATGGTTCTTTGTTGTACCTTGTCATCTTACAATGGGTTATTTTCCAAAGAGTGATCCACTGTAAAAAATTATCGCAAAGGTAGTTTTTTTTTCAAATTCCTAGCATCACCCCTCGTACAAGATACGCATTTCACACCAATTGGTGAAAATATAAATATTACACTGCGATAGAATCATTTAAAAAATTGGCCGAGTTTGATTTCGAAATGGAGTATAAAAAAATCTTTGAAGATGCGTGTTTTATCACAAATGAAAATAAACTTTGAACCTAGAAAAAAAATCAGAAAAATATTTACATGTAACCGATATGATATCTCTGATTCAAAAATATATATGGAATGAACATAATTAGATGTGTGGACTCTCTGAATAAAATGGCTAGATGACAAAACCAATCGCAGAGTGTTATTGAACATGCACTTCCTTGTTAACGACACCCAACAGCATTACTAGTTGAAGTGAAATGATGTTTTACATCTAACTTTTATTACAGTATTGAGTAAATGAACATTTTGCAAATACAGCCGTATAAAACTTATCTTCTTCTTTTTTATATCAAACGTGTACATATCCGTAACTCTGTAAATCTTTTATCTTAAACAAAATTCATTTCATTTCTATAAAAAACTATGACGCAATTCATTTCTATAGAAATATGGCACATTTCATTTCTATAAAAACTATGACCCATTTCATTTCTATAAAAACTATGACATATTTTATTTCTATAAAATCTATGACACATTTCATTTCTATAAAAACTATGACACATTTCATTTCTATAAAAACTATGACACATTTTATTTCGATAAAAACTATGACATTTCTATAAAAACTATGACACATTTCATTTCTATAAAAACTATGACACATTTTATTTCTATAAAAACTATGACACATTTTATTTCTATAGAAACTATGACACATTTTATTTCTATATAAACTATAATACATTTCATTACTATAAAAAAAACTATGACACATTTCATTTCTATAAAGACTATGTTACATTTCATTCTATAAAAAAAACTATGGCACATTTCATTTCTATAAAAACTATGGTACATTTCATTCTATAAAAAAAAACTATGACACATTTCATTTATATAAAGACTATGTTACATTTCATTCTATAAAAAAAAACTATGACACATTTCATTTATATAAAGACTATGTTACATTTCATTCTATAAAAAAAAACTATGACACATTTCATTTATATAAAGACTATGTTACATTTCATTCTATAAAAAAAACTATGACACATTTCATTTATATAAAAACTATGACACATTTCATTTATATAAAAACTATGACACATTTCATTTCTATAAAGACTATGTTACATTTCATTCTATAAAAAAAACTATGGCACATTTCATTTCTATAAAAACTATGGTACATTTCATTCTATAAAAAAAAACTATGACACATTTCATTTATATAAAGACTATGTTACATTTCATTCTATAAAAAAAAACTATGACACATTTCATTTATATAAAGACTATGTTACATTTCATTCTATAAAAAAAACTATGACACATTTCATTTATATAAAGACTATGTTACATTTCATTCTATAAAAAAAAACTATGACACATTTCATTTCTATAAAAACTATGGTACATTTTATTTGTATAAAAACTATGGTACATTTCATTCTATTATATGAACTATGGTAGCTTTAAATGCACTAATTCAGAACATTACACCGTTACACTTTCAATCTATCCATCTGTTAGAAAATGTCGAGTAACATTGTTAAAAAAGTTGAGAATGACATGATGCCAATTAAGTGTTATATCACCTATTATCACTCCAATCTTGAGGCTTCAGTTGTCAAGTTTTTATTACGCTATATGTTTCTTATCGTATACAATATTATAACGTTACTTGCTGTTGATTCATAAAACATTCTAGTAGCGTCCTGTTCTCGTCTGATTCTAGATTTTCTAATCCAGTATGTAAATTCAACACGTTCCATTCTGAAATTGTCAATATTGATTATTGAATTCAAAATAGGAAAGGTTTATGCCTCTGTACTGGCTATAAGTTCCTCATTCTTTTCCAATCGTACCTTAGTCTCAGGAACGGGGATTTTTTTTTTAGCTATATAAGCCAATCAGTACTAGTGTTCACAGCTCACCATCGAAATTTGAGTCTTTAAATCCATGTGTGTCCAGAATGATCCGCGTTTGCTAATTATATTCAAGACTAAAATTCCTTTCTATAGCCCAATCATGCCCTCATGCGTAGAAATAACAATTTCGTCTCATTTTGTTGGACTGCGTGAAAAATACACTTTAAAACAATTGATTGGGTTGATATAAATTGCATTTTAGGTAGTAATTGTCATCAACTTATTGGGCTGTGGACTTTTTATTTCACGTCCAATTTTTCCCCTCCCAAGGCACTGACAGGAGCCATCATAGAGAATGTAAAGAGCTTAAAGAGCAATAGCTGGTATATAAAAGCTGGTATATAATGGCTGCTACAATACGATACAAAATGAATCAGAAGGTGAGAGAGCACGGTTGTTGTACCAGATCTGTCACATACCGATCCCTTTTTATTTTCGTCTTTCATTACAAACTGATCTATTGAAGATTACAATACCATAAAAATAAATACTTTCACAATTGGTTATGTTTAAATGACAAAATATCATTCACGTTGATTTATGGGGACTTCTTACAGATATGCTTTAGTTCTGGTATGACTCTTTGAAAGGGCACCATATCAAGCTTTGATATGTGACTTATATCAAAATTAAAGGAGATAGTTCAGAAATTCCCTCTGAAAATAACCTTTGTAAATACCTTACATTCTGTCGCAATCAGTGGCGTATTCAGGCCTGTGAAAGGTCTGATTTAGAAGACATCTAAATGTTCAAAATTCAACTCAGGTGATCTGGAATCCACCAGCTTCTGGAAATGAGTAAAGACTAAATTAGTACCAATTTACAGATAGGTCGACTGAAATAGAGATAAGATGAATAATTCAATGTCACAAAGCTTTCGCAATAATCGTATGTTAGAGTTGATCAAGCCATATCCGTCATCAGTTGTGCAATAATAATGCTCACTTTCTAAGTTATGTTCAGTGCGTAGACTCTATACTTCGGATCCCCTGCGGCCAACAGTGCGACAGTTCAATACGATGCCAAAGGCATGATATAAAACAAGTAAATGGCGTAAATAGATTGATTCATCCAGAACAGCGCTCACATTTTTTTAATCCCAAAATAAAAATAAATTCGCCCTTTTTAGAATGGATTTTTCCAGATGGCAAATGTCTGTTAACGATTTTCTTCGCTTTATCGAAAACAGAACATATTACCTCTGTTACCAGAGAAAGTTATGTGGTCTCGATCGTCTGTATTTAAAGCTGTAGTCCAAATTATAAAATGGAATGGACAGGCTTAAGCATTTTCCTTATTACTTTGAGTTTATCATCTTCACAATGTCAAACTATTACGAACTTGGTACTTATACCTTGACTACAATAGTTTCTTGTATCACTGAAGTTTGTAAAAAAAAAGGATTTGACTGGATTATAGCCCATTCTTTTTCTTACAGGGACGCTATCTTTAAGATTGTAGATAGTGGGATGAAGCCTACGCTAGTGGTCGAGTATGGCTCTCAAGGAATTTTGAAGGTTCTTAATGAATTTCTGTCTTACACAAAACAGAATCATGTCTTAGATTTGGTTGGAATTCAAGTCAGTGATAGTTTACGATTAGACAAAATAATTAATGGTCAAGAGAATTATTCAAAGTCCCTAGATATGAGAATGAAATGGAGTTTTATGTACTGCTGTTTTATTTTGCTCTTGATTCCAATAAATTCATTGGGCGAAATCGGGTTGCTGAGACCCCGGACCTCACAGTTACCGAGCAAGCGTTTAACAGACTGAGCCACCCATAATCATCGGTATCCTTTTTAGCCTTCAACATTCCCGAAAATCCCTTTTTACATACGATTAAAGCTAAAGACTTGATAAGAAACGACAGCTTTTGACTCCATCGCGAAATTAACGCTTACGTATTAAAGATTCATCACTTCTATTTCAAAAACTTGATTTAATATCCACCCAACGCAACCTCTTACTTACTAAAACCTACGATAGAGTGCATAAATTGGTGTCAGTAACCTCGAAGAAATTCATTCTTACATATTGAAGGTTATCCCCCTTTTTCTCCCCCTCCCATCTTTTCTCTTCCCAAGACGATAGTTTGGTCTGTAAAGTATTCGGAAGTCAAGTGCACCCACGTAACATCTTCGTAAATAACTCATAAATCGGCCAGTTTATAAATCACAATTTCCCACTTGGACATAGAATAATCTGTTTTTAATTGGAGCGGATTAAAATTGACCTGACATGTCCGAAATCCGCTGTCCTCGTCTGAAATGAATCACGACTGTCAAAAATTTGGTTTGACGTGAAAGATTTCCCTTACAGCCATTGAATCCACACGCGCACTGACTCGCTACTACTGTGAATTAGTGTAAGACGCGAGTAACGGCGTGACAGAATTTTACCGTTTTGCTTCTAAATAATTTGCCGTTTAACTTGTGAATTAAACCAGGGTTAATAGGTGATCTAAGGTGTGAGCCGACTTGAAAAAGGAACGAAATTATTTTTCCATTAAAAACTAATAAATTTCTATTATTCAATACACACCACGAAATGATTTTCTTTTGTGAAAGACGACCAACAAAAAGACTGGAATAAATTTAATCGCGACGGGTGTGAAGACATTCCAGTTTTTTAGTCTGTTTGAGATGCATGGTGGTCTGATTTAATAATATAATATTTCGTACGCGAGGATTATCATATCATTTTTGGAGATTTCATAATTTCTAGTCTCAGTTCGACGTGTGTGACGCGATAGTTCGGAAAGCTAAATGATGTTAATATAGCGTGGGTTTGTCAAGCTTATTAAAAAGTTATGCGCAGTTATGTGATATTTAAGCGTATTGCTCGCATGAATTTGTAAAACCACATAAGCGAAAATTTAGAATTTGTGATAATTTCAAGCAATTTTAAGAGAGTTTTACCCTTAACAGAAAACGGAACCGATCAGATCGTTGAAAACACATATTTCAATGGGAATCAATGAACAAGGTGAATCCGTTAGTGAAGAGTGACGCCATGTGAATTCAAGAATAATTCCAGGATCATTTGGAACTAATATTTAACAGCGAAATGGTTGTGTTTCTCAGCTCTTTTAAACATGAAGTTATCCATTAAGAAATTGATTTGTATTTTGTATCTGATTCTAGTCTGGATGTCCGCAGCAACTGGATATTTTGGGTAAGTTCTCTACAAATTTATATCCACAGAATGAAATGAGTTTTACTTTTTGTACCTTAGTCGGTTGTAGTGTAGTGTAATGTAATGAAATACAAGATTACCAAGTTTTGCGCCATGCTTTTCTGTACCTCATTGGTCTAAAGACATGTCCTTCATTGGACATATGATGTTGTTTTGTGCCTACACTTATATTGGCTTAAAGAAATACTACAATCTAAATTTTACTTTTTACTTTTACACTTGACCAGTGTTATGAAATGAATGGAGTTTTACTTTATGACGTTTGATGTTATGATTTCTTTCTCTCTCGATTCACAACTGTCAGGCTTTGGCTTACACTTTTCGATTTTCAAGTGTCGGGGTTTCTTTAAAGTGCACCTTTGAGATACTTCCCTATTATGACAAAGTCACACAGTGGGTTCTACAATAAAGAATTGTCATAGGAGAAATTAGATAGTCAATAGCCGTACAAAGTAATCGATAACAATAGCTTTCAAGGGAATTAAAATATCTTTTGTAGCCTACGTATGTGCATCGGGAACTTTTCTATTTTCACCAATCCCCTTTACAATCCCACGTATCTGTTCATATCGTACTTACCAATTAGGTCCAATTGATTTTGTTCAGGTGACGTATATAAAACATGAACAAGTCTTTAGAAATAAAAGGAACCACATACGTCGGACATGAAATTTGAATGGCACAAATAAAAGCTTTGAAGGTTCCCAAACACAGAAATCATAGATTAGAAAAAATAATTTTACATCTTTATCAGTAACGATCAAAAACACGACGTTTACACTTCAGAAATTACAGATTTATGCAAAATCCTAAATACGCAGTGACAGACGGCATGTATCTGCAGATCTGTAGAACTCTCCTGTGATGAAGATCTAGAAAAGCTGTTAACTGTCATCGCTACCTCCTTTAGCCGTACAAAAACTTTAAATGTTTTATCAATTTTAAAACGAATATATTTTCCGATCTGTTGAAATGACATGTTTGTTTTTAGAAAGTTCCAAAATTAACACAAATATTTATGACTTGAAACAAATTAATGCATGCGAATTGAACTGAATTTCTAAAATTAAATCACCTTGAAATTGAATTAGGATATTTTTAATCATGTTTAGAACTTGTTTAATTTTATCAATTTTGATTGGCCAGAGCAAAACGGTTGCTCCCAAAACGTGTTTTAGTTATAAAATCATCGTCCTTTTTGTCAATTAAATCTCCGTTCGCCTTGACGCGGACGTTAAGGAATGAAAAATGAAAGTTGCTATGAAATTCTGTCCCCTTGTATTATGCTTTTTAAGTTGAAATATTCTTTATATGTAATATTGTAGGCTTACAGTTTGAAAAGTACGTCTGTCTTCCCTTAATCTCGATTTTCCCCTAGTTCGTTTAGGTGTTATCGAACAAGAACTGACAGCATGCTATGAAATTCAATACCATGTTGTAGGCCTAGTTCTAGACGTAAATATTTTGTCATTCTCAATTATGTTTTCAACTCTTTCACCTATGAAATTTTGAACCCCATCCCATCTACTTTTTTCAATGACGTTCGGCTTTATCGTGTAGGCGGTATTTGATAAAAATGAAAATTGTGGCATGCCATGAAATTCTGTACCTTGCCGTTATTCTGCCTCGGTAGTAAATATTTGGACAGTTTGTTCTATTTTTGTCAGTTTATGATATTCTGTGATAAGAATCGAAGACAGATCTGCGCCATATCTACTAAATTCATCACATCTTGTCTTTAGATACAGTGCTGATGCACCATTTAAAGGGTCTCTCCCAATTAACTCCACGTGCCCTACAGTATTTTAGAGAAAGTTATGTGGTACAAGTGACATAGTCACAAAATCGCATTAAAAAAACAGAACAGCCTCTAAACGAAAGTGACAAAGTCGTGTTTGTTTGATCTATGGATGACTAAACACAAAAAAGAACGAAAATTACAATTTCATTCCATCAATCCAGTAAGGTAAAACATGGTGAATATAAATTGAATTTCATTAGCCCCACTCACTGGACTGGGAACGACTGAAAGTTATTTCATTAGCCCAATAAGGTGCATGGAAATAAGACATATTCCATTTTATTTCATTAGCCCAATAAGCTACTTCTTCTCAAAAAAAGTACAAGACAGAAGGGCGTCAAGCGCAATATTTTTTTGTAAATTTATATTACGAACAGTGATACACTTGCCAATACTCGTGGAAGTTTGGACCCCCCTTCCCCTTTTCGTCTTATTTTGGTTCAGTTACGTACATACCGTTAAGACGTAAAACTCCATTTCATTTCACCATTTCAGTTAATGTACAAGGGATTGACCTCATAATTAATATACTCTGTCAAATTTGTTGATGTTAAATTTTAACTCATCAAAGAGATCTTTTTAAACAGATTCCGCTCCGTTCTGACACCGTTTGTAAGACACAATCTGGCTGTGTTTGGGTAAATTTTATCTTAAAGTTTCAATATTTATAGCACATTTTTTTCTGGAATTTGACACACTTTTTGGCATTCATCCTTTCAATTGCATCATCGAACTAGAAACATCTTGTATATCTTTGATTTCAAAAGAAATAGAGAGTATTTATTGAGATCTATCTAAAAACCACTTTGGTAAAATGAATAAAATATAACACAAGATAATATATCAGTTTATTTCAATATCGCGGCATGAAATCCTAATTTCAAAATAAGAATTTGGTAATACAATGGTAGCAGCAGCAGAACTCTTTTTATTTTTGTATGATTTTTATTATTTCAGATTGACAAACCGTGAGCCCCTTCTTTCTCTCACGTGGGGATATCACAATACCGCTCTGGAACGTAATAAACACAAATATTCATCCGCCAAACTGTGTGAAATGTTAAAATTACATCGGAGACAGAAGCGGATGTGTCGGAGAGGTAAAGGAATAGCTGAAAGTCTCTTGGAGGCCACCAGACTTGCTGTGATAGAATGTCAGTATCAGTTTAAACATGAACGATGGAATTGTTCTCTAGGACAGTACAGACAAAACATTCTAAGACGAGGTAAGTTGCGGACGTTTATACGTGAACATTCGCTTTTTTTTTGTCTCCATTGTTATCTAACAAGCTTTCTACCGTTTTCCCGTTCTAATGATATTATATTGTACGAATCGTTTTTTGATGATCATATAGAAACGTGCGATTTCAGTCCCACAGTTCGTTAAGCTATTAAGAAACGGGTTTTACATGGCATGCATTGATTGGTTAAAATTAACGTCATTAAAACTTATTAATTCGTGAAGGAGAGAAAAACGAAATTGAATTCTATTTTTTTATTAGAATGAAACGTGGTTGACATTTTCGGTTTCAATTGCTCTATCGAATGACCAAGATGCCAGGTTTAGTTCTCTAAGGTTATGGACATCTACATAAAAGTCTTAGATGCTTGTAATATGGATATGAGGATATGAAGTGACGCCTTATGTAGAAATTTCTTTCATATCTTGACTTAACTTGGGTGGGTTCTATTTTGGCGGCTGATGTAATAGAGTAAACGAGGGACTGTCCCGTGGTATTATGAACCCATAAATATGGTCGATAACAGAGATATATACCGACATTATGGCTTGTTAAATTCTCATAAGTCTTCGTCTTATATTAAAGGGCACGATTTATGAGTTTATAATGTATGCTTTATTAATTTTTGCAAAATCCTGACCATTACTAGTAGATCCTCAGTGACTCGGCGAATTAGAAGTTTTTCGGTAACCTGGAGGTCATGGGTCCGATCCCAGTCGGATTTTAACCCTATTCCCTCTAGACCAATATATATATATAAATATAAATATTTTGACTACCCAGTGACACGTTAACAAGATTGTGACATGCCGGACATGACTGACATGACGCTATCCGTGTCATGTTACATCATATTTCTTACCTTGTAAACAGGTAAACAAATGATACAACTCATAAACAAGAAATAACAAACATTTTTACATTCTAGTAATCCTAGGGAGGATATAGTAGTATTTTGTTTACAAAGATAATACCTTGCGTTCTCGAAGATCCTGACTACCAGCTTATTCTTGTCCAAGGTTTTTGGAAATGATCTTTATCGGATTATCTGTATCCATTTACAGCCGGAAAAGGGAGGCATCTAGAGAAAAAGATCATTAAATCATTCAAATATGCATATTAATTTTGCTTTATCTGAATTTTCATCGTTACGAACGTTTTTGAAACGCACGTAAGGGGGTGTCACCCTTTCCAGGTGGACCACAGAACGTAGATTTAGGGTTATATAAACATAAACTTTTGAAGTAAAAGTATAAACATTTGTATATCCCAATGTATTTTATGAAATATGGCTAATGCTAGGATTAGAAATAAATCTTTGACGACCGACTGTCACCTTTTTCTCGTGAGCCACCATTTTATTAATGGCCGTTCGCCCCTCTCTTTTGGTAAGATGTCAAAGTTTTTACTCTGAATTCTTGGCTTTTTTCTGACACTTTCCATTTTGATGACAGTCCCAATCTCGTCTCTACTCTATGACAGATAAGAAAACAAATCAACTTTCGTGTCGTTAAGTTCGCAATGCTGGAAATTTGGAATAGTCGCATAGCCTTGGATACCTAGACTGTCTTGAAGGGTTCGTGAAATCGCAAGGCTGATAGTTACCCACACTGTCTTGAAGAGTAGGGACGGAAAGCGTAGAAGAATTGTTTGGGTCCTTCAGGTTAAATGTTCGTTTCATTTTCGTGAAATAGCAATACTGGAAAATGAAATTGTCGCATAGCCTTGTTTACCCGGACCTTCTTGAAAAGTACATGTAGGATCAGAATGGCACAGAAGAGTAGGTTACAAACTGCAACATAAAAATAAAAAATCTATATACAGTCTGGGCGTTCGAGTATTTTCAAGATTCCTTTCTCATGTTTTCGCGCCGCAAAAGTAGTTCGTCAAAACGAGACTGCAACAGGTGTCAAAACTTTGGACAAATCAGATAAATTTCTTCCGCATCCTCACATTAAGATAATCCTGGGAAAATAGGAAACTATATTTTGAAGTTGGTGATGGATTGGGGTTAAACGGTTCCCATGCTTTCTTTGAAAAGTAATTTTGACAATATAAAATGTAAACAATTAAAAACAACACGTTTATTTGTTGATGTCTATGCTTTATTATGTAGAATGGTTGTTTTTGAGGCTTGTTGTGTTTTGCACGTTGGTGTTGGTAGTTAACCTACCAAAGATGTTCCTACATACGGACCACCCTCTGGAACTCAAGAGTTAGGTCATGTCTTGTATTTTTAGATGCAATGACAGTACAACAGTGAACCAAGCACTGGACCGACAGTAACATGATTTCTAGTGTTTCTCTTAAAACACGATGGGAAATATCTCAGAGTAAGGTGATTTCTGGTGGTTCTATAAATATACAATAAATCACCAGTTGATCACCCTCTGGTATATTACCCAGAGTAAGGTGATGTAGGTATTTTTACACATCTCTGATTCACTCTCTGGAGTATAACCCAGACGATAAGATGAGATTTCAGTTGTTAACTTTACATGTTGGTAAAACTAGGGTCCGTAGACTGAAAACGATCAAAACAATAAAACAGTTTAATAAATACTGGTACTTGAATAGTGATCGATAAGCGATTTTCAATAAAAGAAAATAGCTTTGGTATGACTAATCTGGCATGTCTATTGTAAAGTCGCAATGGAGTCATTTCGTACAAATCACACAATTGACACAAGAATGAATATTTCTCAAGAATTGTTCACTCGCTTTGTGTTCCATTGTTCGGCGATTCATTGGTTCATTGTTCGGCAATTCGGTGGTACATTGTTCGGCAATTTAAAGGTTCATTGTTAGTCTATTCAAGGTATATGGTTCACCAGTTAGGACTTATTGAATATATTTACCCCCATGGGTTGTTAATAAGCAATGTGTGTATGAATCGTTCTACTGGTGACTTTTATATATCTCTATTGAGAACCCTGGACTTAGGTTCCATCCCTAATCTAAACAACTAAATATGTTTTCCCCGTCGACCTGCATCATTGACAAGGCGAATATCTGACGGTATTATTTCGACATATGCGTCAACTCACTGAGCTACCGCTGCTTCCGGATGTGCTTAGAGGACGATGTCTCAAATCAAGAGAAAGTATAATAAAATAGAGTTAATGTGGACATTCCCCTTTAATGTGACAAACCTTGTCTGTGGTGTATGTGAGTTGAAATATGAATGATAGCCTATTGCTTTAATTCAGATTGATTTGGTCTATTGAAAGCAAATTTGTCCTCACTTTGATCGAGCTGTACTGTATTGTTCGCTGGGGGTCTGTTTCCTAATGAACTCAACTATTCAGTTACGTTATGTTGCCTTCTCCATTTAAATGCTTTTGTTATAGTGACCGACTTTCTGAATACAAGTTTTGGTATGCACTGAGTTCCTTCCATTGGGTAAATTATTAACAATTTTGAGAATTATGAGATTACAGCATCCACGATTTACCTTGCGGCTTTCGATGTTTGGAGAGCCGAAGTAATTATGCGAAGGACGTTCCAGGGATCAATCCCTATTGATAGAGATAAAACCATTGGATTTATCAACCCGCTACCCCCTGGTCAGTCATGCAACAAGGGTGACACGGAAAAAGCGTCTAGTCGTTAGGACGATAAATAAACCGGTTGCTCTGTGTGCTACAGATTGTGCATGTTAAAGATTCCTCTATAATTAAGTTTGTGATCTGTAAATACAGGTTTACTGAAATTGTTCATTAATCAGTTTGTGATTATCAAACGGACACTTGGAATTATGAAAATGAAATGCTAAGCCTGAATTTTTAGTTCTGACAAGTGTATGGAATTGTTTCATGCAGTGGGTGGAATCAATTTAGCATTAATTTCACTTAAAATAACAGAATCATATCAAATTGGTTGATTAAATATCCTTTGAAGTTTCAAATTTGTCATTCAGGCACTTGTTTTTATTAAAGCTACGTCTCATATAACACTTTATCCGTTTTTATTTTCTTAACTAAACATTTCCACGAAACCCGAATACATCAAAGCAAGATTGTATAAATTACCTTGATTATGTGTTCGATTCATGTTGTTGTTACATGACGGTGTGTTGGAATCTGGTTCCGCTCAATATTACCAATGCTTGTCACTGAGGAATTTTTTGAGTTGAAATAAATTCCTGAAATAAGCTATATAGTTAAATGGATGTTTATGTTTTCGTATAGGTGAATGGGTTCATAAATTATAAGATCATGCTATAATGCAATGCATTTGAATCCGAAGTCATACTTTACAACGATATGCTCAAGTATCAATAAGATGTTTTGTTCAGTTCTCTTCTTGATTTTTATCAAGAAGGGCACTGATGAAAGAGTTACTAGTCATAGAGCTATTTTTAATGATCACAAGTAAAAGACATTCAGATCTGTATAATAAGTGAAATGAAACGGTGTTTCAAGTCCTACTACGTTTATATGTTAGTCTCTCCGAAAGAAATGAGGTCCAAAAGGGTATCACTTCCAGCTATGTCAGAATAGAACTCCGGACCTTAGAGTTAGCAAGAAACAAAAGTGAAATCAGGACAAAATATTGCCAAAATGCCAAAATGAAACAGACTAGCGTAGATAACATCGACAGAAGTACCCCAAAAAGTGACAAAAATAACAGCAAAAACTGGTAAAAACAACAGCAAAAACTAGTAAAAACAACAAACGATATGAAAATAGTTTGTGTGATAATAAAGAATAAAGGACTATATGAAAAGAAAATTATAGATATATTTATAACATAGTGTGTATTGTTTTAATAATCTTTATTAGTTTAACAAATGTGCATTATCACTTTTCATATTCAGTATGTTACCGTTTTGTCCGATTTATTATTTTTTGTCCGATGTATCTGAAACCCTTTGAAAGGAAAAGTCGCGCTGGCAGTTGCACAATGCCCTCTATACTTCTTTAGCAAATGTATAAGATTACATTTTTACAGCTGGTAACATCAAGGGTTGATATGTGAAAGACTCGTTGTACCCGTGGTAGAGCATAAGTAAACTTGAATTTAACTCATTCATTACCACTGTCAAAATGATAAACAAACAATTTTCGATCGCAATTCCATACTATTCTGTCTGGCACAGAATCCTGAAAGGTGCAGTAATTCTTTTAACAGAATTCACAGTACAATGGAATTCTTGAATAGTTTCTGTTAATTTACAGCACGATAGAATTCCTGGGAAATTTCTCCTAATTTATGGTGTTTTTGTAAGGCATTGTACTTTTGAGATCTAGGTATGAAAAGAATTCGAGAATTTTGTCTATCGAACCACAAAAATCTGACCGGAAGTGACGCCTGATACCGAATTGGTACCTTATGTTGTCCATTATGTAAGATGATTGGTTCAAACCGGAAGTGACATTAATGATCAGATGCACTAATGTGTTTCTTATATATACTGACTATTCAGATACGTAAATATTTTCTTTACAATCAGATAAAGCGCAAATCTAGCTATCTATATCACTTTTCAGAACGCAAAACAGATGTCCAATTCGTCCACAATTAAATCAAAACTCAAGTCGCGACATGATGTCGTAAGGAAGTCAAATTCAAATGAAAGCATAAAATTCTACGTCAGATATTATGATGTAACCTGTTGAAATGTTCAGCCCAGGTTTATGCCAATCTAAACTTCAAACCTTCAACGGGATAATTAGATCGAATTAAGTTGAAATAAAACGGTGACAGTTCTACGCTTTGATATCCGTAAACTTAAAAGCGTGATAATCAATTCTGTAGTCTAAACGCCGATGCAAGGCATGTCTATTGTCTACAAAACTGAAATAGGGTAATTGCCAATTGTAGATTTAGACCACGAAAATCAGACTGTTTTTTTTTCTCCTTTTTTAAATGGTATGAAGAAACCAGTAATGTCTTGATGGACTTTGATGTATTGATAGTAAAAGTACACGTCACAAACGCTTTTATTTCGAATGCTTTTTTTTGTTTTCTTTTTAATTTCAGGTTTTTCAGAAACGTCATTTTTGTATGCAATATCTTCCGCAGGACTCGTCCATGCATTTGCACGTGCGTGCAGTAAAGGTGTTCTAGATAGATGTACATGTGATGAATCAAAACACTTAGAGAATCATAAGACTTGGTTATGGGGAGGATGCGGTGATAATCTCAGATATGGACTGAAATTCACGAGGAAATTTTTAAAACGGGCGAGGAAATCCGGGAAGGACGTGAGAGCAAAGGTTAATCAACATAACAGTCGAGTTGGCATTAAGGTCAGTATCAGCTTATATTCAATTAGTAAATAAAAGATTTTTCCGGCAAAGGGGTGCAACTCATGACTACAAAGTTGGCTAATTCAGATGCCGACCAGTGAGCTAGTCTAAATATTTCTTCACAATGCCCAGTTATTACGAATTGCATCTGATGCCTTGACTGCTGTAATAGCAACCTTTCATTACTTTATTGTTAGATGAAGATTTGATTATTTCATTTTGATAAGAATTTATTGTTCATTTGGAATGAACATTTCAAATTTAGATGAATTTGATTGACTTTATTGAAACAAGAATTGTCCATATATGAAAATGATATTTATTAAATAGCTAAATATTCGTTCATAGATGAATATTTCATTCTTACACAAGTACAATTTCTGTCCGTTTTCTGCTAGTTAAAGATTGTCATTTTAATGTTTGACTGACAGTTTTGTCAATATTGGCAATATGATTAAAGTAATCGCTCCTTGGTAGAGTCAAGGCGTCATTCTCGCCAGTCTGGGGTCTTCTGAAATCTTGGATAAATAGTTTTAAATCATTATCTGGTATAATTGAGTTTGTTGTGTAGACTTTAATCACTGCATCTCATTTTATGCAAGTGGCCTCTGTCTACTGTTCCGTGGGAACGTTGATGATCTGGCCGCATTTGACATCACACGTATTGCACTGGAATACTAAAAATTCGGTATCCAGCGACCTACAGTGATACAAATCGGAACGACAAGTTTTGCAATCGGAGGAGGTACAACTTTGGAAATGGGCACGATTGTCCGTAACATTGGGGAACTCCCAAGCTTGGCAGATGAGGAGTTGTACAACATGAAAACATTGACAAAAGAAGCATAAGTATCGAACCTGGAACACATAAGTTCCACATCAAGATTATCAAACACTATAGTTTGTATATAGGTATCTGTATTTGCGTAATCTACTCAACCAATGTATGGCATTTTTTAAAACTCTAAAATGAAAAAAAAATCGTTGTAAGTTCAGTATGGCAAAGTTCGCCTGGTACTCTCTCTGGTAAGGTAGTAAAAACTGTGAACGACAAAACACACCTGCCAAAAGTAATCTTCTACAGTTTTATGATGAAAAAACGTGTAGAATTTGATCATAATCTGCTGTGTATTTAAGACAATATTTTATCACAATGTAGCAGTAAATTATGACTTTATTGGAATAATATTCTCAAGGCTGAACTGGTGTTTTTCGTCCTACTTCACTGCTCTAGTTTGAGCTGATGGAGATTGGGCTTAATTGAATTAAATTGAGTTTTACGTCTTGTTATTATTATATAATTTGTTGACGAATTAAGGCTGGCAGTGCTACACGCACTGTGTACAGTCTGTAGGAATAGCAATCGGAACTCGGAGAGACAGAGAGTCTCTCCGATCTGCATAACTGTTAAGAAAAAAAAATCGTTGGAAATCCAAAGGCATTGCCTCATCCCATAGTGCGCTCGTATCTATCGCCGCGGTTCCCTTCGTGTTAGGAGCGTATAGTCAAGATAATGGTAGGCATGGAAGCCGTTTTGACCCTAACATACCTAAACATCTATACCGACATAAGAATGATCCCGATAACTGCAAGGCTTTCTACAACAACTAATGACAGAAATAACATACATTTGCACTAAGTAGAAAAGTGGTCGTTGTGAAATATATTACTCTTGATCGATGCGTTCAACTTTAAAAATTTAGACACGGATTTTCAATCAAGAGTGAAACGGAGAACCTTTCAGAAGCCAGATACGATCGAGTTGAAAATGATATGGCACCGAAATAAGCTAATAATTGCATCTCATTTTCAAGTTTAAGATTCCAGTGCCAAGAATTTCTGGCAGATAAAATCACCTGACATTGTTCTCAGTCAGATAAACCAGAGATTGTGTCGAGATGGAATCATATCATTAAAATAAATGAATGAATGGTATGGCGTAACATGACATTAAGTTACAATAAACAGCTTATTAGTGTGCTTGTAACATTTACAGTTACAAATATACACTCCCTTGTTTTCGTTTAGAAATAGTATAAGGTATGGAATGAATGAATGATTGAATGAATGATATTGTAATAAATCACGTGAATAAAAAAGAGAATTAGATAACTAAAATAAGGAATGAAATACATTGTATAAAAAGATGAATACGAAGAATTAAAAGATTAATGAAGTAAATTATAGAAATGAATAAGTTAATTAAAATTTATATATAAAAATATTTCAATTAATAAATGAGTTAAATGAAAAATATCAAGTAACTAAATCATATAATAGAAACAAATAGAAAGAAGGATAGTTAATGAATATTTAAGACAATTAAATATAACATAAATGAATTAATTGAAATGAATGAAATGAATGAAATGAATTAAATAAATTAAATTAGATAAATACATTAAATAAACATTCGTATTTAGCAATTTTCAGGACTGAAGAAATCGTCTCATACTTATTGAATTGTCTTTTTACACCACCTAGTATTCCGGACTACGACGATGTCCTGACGAATAGGTCAAAGTTTATTGGGCCAGAGGGGACAAACTGCGTGCGGGACCGTATACTTCACGGCTCAGACTGCGAATTGACAAGATAGAGACGATTGAAAATAGCTTTAACAATCGAATCAGCGACAATAGCATGACAATTTGACACTAAACCAACAATATTTTAATATAAGAGGGGCTTTTTATACCCTGGGTTTAAATTAAGACAATTTATTTAAACAGTGCTCGTTCCAGACCCGTTGTTCAACGTTTAAATTGATCTTTGTCCCTTTTTCGGGTTTTGAGGTCAGAGAGTACTTTCAGAACTGAATTCTTTTAAGACCCGCTATATCGAGTTCGTCGCAAAGTTGTCTTTCGGATAAATGAGATCCCATCCACAGTCTCCACAGTTAAAATAGAAAAAAGTAAACTAATCCTGGAAACATTTCTACAAGGTGTTGTTTATACTCATTCGTCCAATAAAATGGAGAAACATATGGCCTATAATTTTATGAACACCGTTTTTGTTTCAAATTTCAATCTTCAAGTAAGCAAAATAAAAAAATACAAGTAAAGTCAATCAAAGTGTAAAACTTTCATTTCAATTACTAATTACAACGGACCACTTATAAGTGATTGAAATAACTCTGTCATCTTACTTTCAATTTAATAGGTACTTTATTAACTCTGAGTTGTCGACAAACACAAGTTGAAATAGATCCCTAGGGTAGGATAGACAGTCTTGTCAAAACTATTAAAGAAACGTGTTGACTCTACGGATTAGATTATCTAGGTACATAATGTACCATTTACCCCTACTTGGCCCCGACAAGCAGCTTCTGGGTGGTGAGGAATTTTTTACCCACCCAATTCGTTGACTTTATTGACTTTTTGTCTGTATTTGGAAACAAAGGCGTTGAATGTGGCGCCCATAACACAGAATTTCGAGCACAATTTGAAAATGGTCGGAAGGTGGTCATGAAAAACGCCCATTCGCTCAGAAAGGACCACAAACCGATGCCTATTTCACAAAACAGGAGATCTACAAACACAACAATGTCCTTGCAAAAATATCCTTTATAACTCTTTGACGTTACTCCTCTTCACTGGCCCTGAAAAGTACGACGTAAAATTAATTTGATTCCTTTGAAACAATTCGAAAATCAAGTTAATTAAGAGAAGTTCGCCCTTGATTAAGAAAAAACAAATTTGATATTCGAGGTCTAAAAATAAAGTGTGAAAGAATCAAATGGATTTTAATTTGATTTGACAGAAACACAAAAACTCCCACTAAACAGACACTGTTTAAAATCGTTTACGATTGGTGAACACTTTGGTGAACACTTTGAAAATAATAATGTAGTGGTGTCTACTGTAAGGTGTTTTTGTGGGGGAGGGTCTGTAAGTATTATTTATTATCCTTTCGCCAATGCGAACACGATAAAGAGAAAAAAAGAAAGAAAGCAACAGGTATCTTATTTTTTTTACAAGGATAACAAATTAGGTACTTGAGGATCCATTCTACCAACTGGCCCTTACCCGTGCCCATCTCAATCAACTAGAAAATGAGGAATGATTACATTTCACCAGTTATCGGTCGTCTAGGACCACTCTAACGTCAATGAATGACTTATTCAGAGTCACTAAGATTAGAACCCAAAGCCTTAAGTTTTGGAAGTAATTCCAAACACTCCATTGTTAACGAATGCCTGTGTTGTGAGTAACCAACATGCTAGCGTTGGCGACGTTGACAATTGACCTAGTTTGAGGCCAAGTGTACCTTTGACAGCTTGATATATTGAGGAGTAGAATTTTCTTCTAACTTCAATACAAACAATTACACGCCTAGTTAAACATGAATAATAGCCAATCATATCATTTCTGTCATTTTGTGCGAAACTGTCATTTTGCTGCGGGACTGTTTTTATCAGCTCTTCAGTGGCTTGAGAACAATTTTGGTGTCAAAAAAGACACTTTAGACATGTTTTCAGTAATTTGAAGTACTTCTTATTTTACTATTATGATAAAAGTGTGATTCAGTCTGATTAAGGTGCCTACACCTGTCATCGATGATCTGACGGCATACGTTCGGCACCATGCATGTCATAATTTAGCTAACCAATCAAGTGGTAAGGCAATGCATTATGTCGACATATATAGTAAGGTCTATTGCATCGAACAGATCAATTGATTGATTGATCATTAAACACGTAAAGAAGAATGCATATTTTTAAAACCAGATTTTGCCACAAACATAAAAATAACCTCTTTAACGGAAGTCGGCGCTCTTGGTAAAAAAAGAAAAAAAAAATGACAAAAAATTGAAACATGTTGTATTCTTTTTATTACGTAGGTCACATTACATTCACACTTTGTTAATTATTCCATCATATCTGTTTACCGTTTAATATTCCACTTGAGGCTTAATGATACATTGAAGTTTATTAATATTAAGACTTTCGTGATTGAATCGTAAGATTCGCTAGGTGGAAAATATCAAAATATTACGTTATTTTAAAGTTTGTGAGCATGCCCTTCCTACAGCAGTACTACCAACTACAATAATGATATAAAACCACGGAGTTTAAACCCACGTAAAACATTCGAGACATCACAATGTAAACACAACATAGATCTGAGAGTAGAATCCATTTAAATGGTTTACTTTAGCAATTAGTGAATGTAAAAACAAACCAAGTAGATTACATGGCAAGGAATCGTTCCTGGCATTCTCTTAGACTGGTCTGACATTGTACTTATTGACTCCGGAGCGAACATAAATTTTATTTTAATATAATAAGAGGGATGGGGTAAATAAATCGTCCGGTATGGATAGTACAATTACCAAGCATAAAGATAACTGGATGAATGGAACCGTTCATAGCTTTCTCTCAGACTCATCCTGAAATTGCACTCGTTTACACAGTCTTATTTCTCATGTTGAATTGGAAATAAATGACGAGACGTTACTGGTAAGGGCAAAATACATAGTTCTATAACATATATCAGTAACATGTTTACCTATAGATATTTAGAGCGCCATTATATCTGTAGGGGTTTAAAGCGTCGTTTTTGTTAATTGCAGTCAAACTAGACATTGGAATCCAATCGTAAAAGATATAACGATGGCTGAAATAGGTCACTTATAGCTGAGAAAGAAAAGGATAACATTCCTTTCAAACATTTCTGATGTCCAAGGTGGCGACGCTCATAGTCAGATCCAAGTTGTTCCTAAACCCCTTACAACTAGCGAGTTGAAGTCTTCAAATTTACTCGTGAACGATTATGAAGTATAGCCTACCATACAGATTAAAAATCCCGTATATAAATGAAATTTGAAATTTAAACTAATTTCATTCTTTATTTTCAGGTGGTAAAGGAAAACGTTAACACAACATGCAAGTGTCATGGCGTTTCCGGTTCCTGTACAGTCAAAACGTGTTGGTTACAGTTATCTCCCTTCAGTAAGATCGGACGAACATTGAAGAACAAATACGAACGTGCGAAAAAAGTATTAATTCAGACGAACCAAGCCACGGGCAAAAATCTTTTGGTGCGACGTGCGAACGCCGAAACAAATGCTTTGAACAATGAGGGTCGATCGCCGAAGCGAGGAAACCTACTTTATATGGACGAATCGCCGAGTTTTTGTCGGCGGAGTCGCTACACTCCGGGTACAACCGGCCGTACATGTGATAAAGACCGTGATTGTGAAACGATGTGTTGCGGTCGCGGTTATAATGTAAAGCATACGACTGTGGTCAAAGCCTGCAAGTGCCAAGTTTTTTGGTGTTGCCACGTTAAATGTAAACAGTGCCTTAAAAATCAAGAAATTTACATGTGTAAGTGAAGGCCGAAATTAGGCATTCGAGGTAAAATTGTATGATCACGTTAGTGCTACTGTTTCTGAATTTGTGCATTTGGAGATTTAAAGGATCGTAAGTAATTTTCGACACGTTATCTTTGAGAATTTTGATTGGTCGATGATTTAGTTCTCGACCAATAAGATTTATAAATAAATAATACATAAATTGTACACAAAGCGTTATTGCGGGGTCGGAATTTGAAATAGTTCATGTAGTTTTTGTCTTTGATTTCAAGGGTTGAGTGTCCAAGCTGGCTTGCAATCCCTGTGTAAATAATTATAAGATATGTTCTAGACAATGTACAACTGTACATTATTAAGGCAATCAATACCAATAATGATTGTATAAATCTTAAAGTTTTGATAAAGAGATGTCAAAATCCTTCTTATACTGCTATTCTCCTGAAATGGAAGTTACAAAATGTGTTATTGTGGTTGTTGCAACCCGTTACTGTACATGACAATCAAACAGGGTGAATTTAATGGGTACATTGCTAAAAGGCACGACAAATAATGCAATATTATAAAGTGAGGATTAGGTTACATGTCTTATGTTAAGATATTATAATAATTGTTAAGTACATTACTTGTAAAAAAGGAACCCTGATTTATTTAGGAATTTACGAACAATGACTTTCCAATTCTATTTTTAAATGTATACGAAAGGGAAATCCCATGAATGAATTGTAAATATTGGATATAATTGATTGTAAATATTGTACATAGTCAATTGTAAATATTGTACATAATGAACATACTATTTATATAACAAGCATACTGGATGATATCTCCAGTCTTTGAAGATCGAGTAGATATTCAGTATCAAGCACGAAACTACGCATGGTTCTTATATGGAAATAACCTAAGAACTATACGTAGTGTCGATATTCCAGTCATCATCGTTCTGATTGGTCGAGGATTTATTCTTGACCAATTAGATTCATCGAAACTTGATATTGCACAAAATGTTAGAATAAACTGTCACATTCTTTCACGTTGACGTGGTTTCTGTGTGAAGAGAAGTCAATGTTAAAGATGGGTTCCCTTATTTTCTTTTATGAAAATGAAAATGCTAATACTTATATGAGAAATACCAGTTTGTCTCACATTTCCATAATTAATTCATAATTAGCTAAATTAGAAGGGAATTATTAGCAGACATGGACATTTATGATTGGTTAAAACTTATATTATTATATGCAATAAGAACATAATGATATGATTAAGAATACATGATAATTCATTAGAAACACCAATTAATCATATTCTTTGATTAATTTGACAGTAAAAAATAAGGAAACCCATCTTAAATTCCTGTATATTAGTTCCATGGCCGGAATATCAGCTTGTTATTCAAAGGTTTATAACCAAATATCGACTCACGACTTCTTGTAGACTGACGATGCCTGAATTGGTAGTATGTGATACTATTATCGACATCATGATATATCACGCGTAGTACGAGTCAACCCTTGATGCAACAAGCAGGCATTCATAATTTCTTATACGTCATCGTTCACTTTGTCCAATCAACGACAGCGTTACATATTATACAAAACAAAATTGTGTTCTTTGGGAAAGCAGTTTTGAGCAATAGTTTTAGTTTCATCGACCAATGACAATTACAGACTAGAATCCAGACTTGCTACATCAAGGGTAATATGTTAGAAAACTCGTACTACATAGGAGCTATCACGATGTGTCACGGACAATGTCAATATTAATATATATATATATATATTTAGATTGTACTTAATTGTTAATAAAACCTTATAAATTGTTTTGGGAATTGTTTGCTAAAGTCGCCTTGTATTTAAGATGTTTCTGAACCTCAGTTTCCCCCATTTTTCTTAATAAAAAAGAGAAAGAAATTCTAACCAAAGATTCTCTTTATATCTAACAAACGCTTAATTTATCTCTACAGTCAAAATTTGTCTTTATAAAGACTCTCAAAGTTTTAAGGAAAGTTTTAATTTGAATGTACAAAAAGAGTTAATTTTGACCATAATAAGAACTAAATTGGAACGTTTCCCACATTGTTTGACAAATCGGAATGGAAAATACATTCGGCAATCCTCGGAAATTTCCGTGAAGCTTTATTTTAACTTACGACCGTTTGTGGAAAATGCCAACTATCAAAAGAATATGTTCAATAAATGTCACCTGGTCTTTCTTTCGTATATACTTATTTTGATTGTCTCAGATTATTTCAATAAAGAACATATCTCGAGCATAACGTGTGTCAAGGTCACTTGGATAGAGGTCAAGGTCACAATGTCTGGCTACCAGCTGGTACAGTGATGCTTATCGAGGTCACCATGACGATAGATCGGGATGTTTTTGTTTACATTTTATTTAAGAAGTTTTGATCGCATTTCTACTATGATGATGACGTGAAACAACTAAAGAAGTCTCTTAGACTCATACAGCCCTGATTCCGGTCCCTAACTGGGTTTGTCGGCATCATTCCGCCTATAGCTCATATTTATTTGAATTTGACAACTCTGATAATGTTTATTTGTATTTCGGTTATAAATTGGGCACACCAAAAGTTATCAACACACAGATGTCTTCGATTGGGCTTGTCAAATGCTTATGCTAACAGAGAGTCTACATTAAATAATAAAAATTATTGTCAACCAGGTTGTAGTTTTAGTTCTAATATGCCCAATTGCTATGAAACGCCATTAGATATAATCCAAAAGCGAAATATGACCGAGAAGAGGTTTTGTAAAGGTGACATAGATGTCATATACCCATTCTGCAAGACGGATGGTACTGCTTGGGTCACACAAATGGGTGACAGAAAAGCCCGCCTACAGACTCAAGAGTAAAAGTCAAAACTGTTTTGTGACACTAGATAGCAAGGAGATTAAAATGATAATCAATTCAACAGTTATCCTAACGGGTATTCATAACGGAGTTATGTCCCCTTAATCAACCACATGCCCATTGAATTAGATTGACTTATTCAATAGTTCATGTAATCAGATGGAATTTTACATTGCTTGTGAATATGCAGAATAATTTGATCTGAAATAGTGCACTAACTAGTGCTTAGTTTTCGTGGAATTGCAAGAACCACAGATGTCCGACTGAAAATTGGAACGGCTCAAACTGTTGTCAGTCTCCCAACTAAACTGTCTAGAGGAAATCTTTACAATCCAAAACCCTAGTATAGATGTACATAGTAATCTCATACTAAGTTAAATATTCCTTCATCGTAGCTTCACTTCCAATTGTACATACGGGCTATTGTAAAACAGCTTCGGTCATTTGAACCAATTTTGCGATACCCAAATTACTTTGAAATCTTTTGTAGGAGCTCATTTTTCATCGATTGGTAAGGCGATGTACGGATTCGTGTCCCAAAGAAGTAATTTAAGAAAAAGGTTTAATTTAACAACAAATAATTGACAAATTAGACTCAAAGCAAAGAATGTGTTGTACTTGAGAAAATCGGAATTGACATCGACTTTTTGACACACGTCAATCCTGAGTCCACAACGACTAAAATGAGTAAGATTGTTAGAGATTCAGCGGCTTTCAACAGATCAAAAAGTTAACGCCCTGGCCAAGAAAACGACGCCAGACCAACGACGTGGTGTTTATTCGCCTATTTACAGCGAATTAGAGAATTAAAATTCCTCGAAACTTGTTGCTAACTTGTGAACGTTCCCACAATTTATTGGTCGTTGAAATTAAAAAGCGGGTGCAAATAAATTGGAGGTATTCAGCGAATCTGGCTTAACTTGTTTAGGTAAATAGAGACTGCAAGCTACGAGCCGTAATCGTCGAGGTAGTTTAAAGACAAAGATAGAAGTTGGTTATATATTGACTATCCGCACGTTGCACATCAAACAGAGATAAAAGACAAGAAACGATTGTTGATACTTATAGAAAGGAAAGACCTGTCACCAATGTAAAATGCGTAGCATAACATTTTCATTTGGAAACGATGTTCCATCTACATCATTTAACAACATTTTCTTTCTTTCAACTCAATATATTAGTTGCAGATAGTCCATGTCATTTAGAAACGAACAATTGTTACTGTATTTAGTCATATTAGACGTTTCACCTTCGTCAATTTCAAACGTTTCATTTCTTTCTGTCCGTGGGAATTAAACTTTGTTTATTTTCTGTTTTGATTTGGATATTAACCCTTCTATGGCCCAACCTGTTTAGGAATAAATTAAGATTCATATAATGGATAGTGGTAAACATTAAGAAAGGCGACTAAATTAGCAAAGAGTCGCTAAGAATCGTGGAAATAAATTTAAAGAAGCTATTTTAATCTCTTGTTGCCTCTGAGATGAAAAGAAACCAAAATGAAACTTGTTATATGCGACAAGGAAAATTTTTCATGTCTAAAAAGAGAAAAGATAGACATCCTTATTTGTATGATTTTAGTCCCGCGAACCTCCAAAAACTACTCACAGGCTGTAAGGATTATATTGCTTTTTTACGCCAAATAAATGGTAGTCGTGGGTTCTAAATATAATCTCGTACGAAAGTCTGGTTACCATTGATAAGTCATGTTCTTCATCATTCCAGTCGATACAGTTGTAATTGGTACAGATGATCTGAATATCAAGGAATATATAAATATTCTGAAAAGGAGAAAACAAAATAAGAGAAATAAAAGAAAAACTTCACATGAAAATTTGCAGTTTCTCCCTCCGAAAAGGTAACAGAAAAATATGTTCAGATAATAGAAATAGATTATACCGCGAAAGGAAAGCATGCGATAGCCCAGCTTTTCTTAAAATATTTTGAAAATTTTAGTCGATATGAACAAATTGCCTGCGGTCGTGTCTGGGCCCGTAAAAATAGACCCAAAATTTATTTTAAAAACTGAAAATTTATCAAATATTAAATCAAGTACCACTACCCTCGAGCAATTGTGAATTTTCAATTATATATTTTTGAGGAATTTTTTAAAATTGTTAAAGTTGAGGGTGAGATCCTTCGACCATCTTCTTTTTCGCAGTCTGTTTAATAAGAGCCGGGAAAACAATTTCTTAAAATCTCAGTCAAAATTACTGACCACATATCAATCGAATATTCCAGTGGATGCTTTTCGCTATAGAAGTGCAATTTTCCAGACCATTGTAAGCAATATCTCACATCTGACATATATATATATAATATCCAGCAACGTTAGAAACAAACAATGACGTCTTTGCTGATAACTTTATGGTTTCAAAAACAGGTGCAGGTTTTTTTCTTTTCATCCTGATCCTTCAGGATCCCTTATCGATTGCATTATTCCCTTCATCTGTAAGTTCCTGGTTTTGATTGAACTTTATCAATTGAAAATAATACAACAACATGTATACGACCATTATACCCAGTATAGATACGCTCGGAACGAATGCCACGCCCTACTTCAATCCCAGACTTATCAAGAATTTTAGACAAAGTCATTCAAAAGCACTTCCAATAGAAATTGAACATTCATGTATTAAGTATAATAGCAAAAATGTCAGTTATGTGTTTTGATTTTAATACAATTTTAATGTCCATGCTAAAAAAATCTTGATAATATAAGATACCAACGCACCGTTTTAGCGACCCGGGTTGTGAATGGATCCTTAACATTAACTTAATGGGTGAAAACATAAGTATATTTAGTAAGGTATCCACGTCCAAATCTTGAAAAAGATTTAGAAAAATAAAATTGCTCGTTTTAAAATTGGATTGATAAAATATAGGAGGCGATCAAGTCACTCAGCTAAGCGGAAAGAAAATAAAACACACACATAAAACTATACGTTTATTGTCTCACAAATGAAGTCGTCATTTCACTCAAGGAACGTGACCCCTCCGGCCTGACCCCAAATTTGTCAATCGAAAATGCGCCAGTTAATGACAGTTTAGAGTTAAAAAGTGACCAATTTAACATTTGATGTCTTAATCGAGTTAATACTTTTCGAATATGTTAATTTATATCCATGGATGATTTTGTATTCGGATTTTGTGATTTTTCGAGTTGAATTGAAAGTTTTAATTTTTTTGTCAGATTGTCACCTTAGAAATTCATAACGGAACTGTTTGGAAATTTGGAGTGGGATATTGGATCATCGGACAGTGTAAAGTGGACGTAACCAAAAGTCTTACGATCGGAATAATTCCGGATTTAAAAGTGGAGTAAGACAAGGGGACGTTATAGCACCTTAGTCAGTTCGTTTATTGAACCAATAAACTTACGATGCATGTGTGATCTACTTCTTCATTGGTTTTGGATGTTTTATCGAGCTCTTCGTTGAAATGTACGTCTGTATTGTTCGGATCCATTGAAATACGTATGGGCTCAGTTTTATTAATTTTAACTAGTGTAATGCGTCTGAATTGAAGATGTCATAAACTGTAAAGGACTGCCATATCAATTTTCCGTTGTAAAGACATTTTTTACAAAGAATTTAAATACTATTAAATTCTTTAAACACACAATAAAATTCTTGTGTCCATTTAAGTCGGAATGTAAGACTCCGATTAGCAGTTGTCAATATTGTTAACTTGCCTAATCTCTTTTCAAATAATTAGGACAAAATAGATTTGTAGCCACTTGAAACGACAAGAACCCTGAGAACATTAGAAGTAGGCGGTGCTATGCCTATTTACCGATGTCGCATCATCCTTTGTTTAAACTTTTCTGACATTTTTCTAATCTTAACCTAGGAGTTTAAGATTCAAAACGTTTGGTTTTAAAACATCCGATATTGGCCGATCAGGATTAAGTGAAATTTTGGAATAAAATTTCCAGATGATCAGCGGAAAAACGTTGGATTTTGTATCAAGGATATTTCTAGAATGTGCCAATCAACCAAATCGATAAAATTGATACGAAATTTAAAAAACGGAATAGATGATTGCCTTTCTCTGATGAAACATTAATTGGGACGGGCAAAAGGAATTAAAAACTCTAAGCAAATCGAATGATTGCATATGCACTTAAGCTTCCCAAAGGATTGAAATTCTGGATGGCGAAATTTTCATCAAAGTTTTAAAAGAAATTTTGCATAAAATATATGTTCCATTTAGTTAATTTGTGGTTGTGAAAAATTTTGAAAATTTGGAAACAAGATCCGGCTAACTAATGTGAAATACGATGCGTCTATTGTATGTTCTGGGACTGTTGTACGTCAGTGTTTTACTAATCATGTGTAAGAAGGGCAGGCATCGCGGCCGGATGAAAGGCGTTCAATGGTGGTGAGTAAACGTTTTAATGTTGTTTTCGAAGTAAAGGGGTAGAGGTGTAGAACTAGAAGGCGGAAAGTGTAGGGTGAAGGGGGGGTGGGGGAGGATAAGACTGGCTTCTGGGCGAAATTTTAATTATAACTATATTTTCGTTCGCTTTTTGTTCTTATGAAGAATTGATATTTCGGAATACTGAAAAAACATGAAACGAATCAATAATTAAATCTAAATGGTGAGACAGATACTTTGATTAAATTGATTTGACTTTATCAATATAAAATTCTTTTACATTTTTTCGGGGTTTGGTCTAAAAATATACAAAATTCAATATTTTGAAAAGACCTTTTAGAACAAATTGTATGTTGTTTTCCACAATTTGCAAAACCATAATATCGCCAAAATATAACTACAATTATTTTCAAAATAACAAACATGACACGCAAAAACAGTCATTAATAGTTTCTACGGGTCTTCTGTTTTAAAAATTGATACAACCAAGTTCCCGAAATAAGTCGGAGCCACCCAAATGTTCGCAAATGATGGGGAATAGCTAATTTCTATGCCATATGTTGGTAATTGATTTAAATTTACAATTGAATAAGAATAGATTAAATAAGATAGTGAATAATAATAGATAAATACGTCCAGCAATTTGTTTATCTGAAAAGCTATCAAATATGTTTTGAATGTGCTAAATAACAATATGACAAGACCTTTTGTTCTTAGATCATTGTTCTTGAACCAATAATATAGAACCTAGAAATATGTGAAGTGTCGAAACGTGATATATTTTTGAATTAATAACAATATTGCATAACATTGTTCCTGTTTATATTTGAATAATTAATCAATCATATGGCATCTAATAAATATGAGAAGTGGTTGTAGAAAATATGCAATAAAATGAGATTTTACATCACAGTTTTCTGTTCCTTAATTGGACTGTTCCTTATTAAAAGACAATGTCAATGTCATTTGTCTATTCCTTGGATTTCCAAATGTCGACATAACTTTAATTTGTGAATCCTGAACCTGAATCCTGTCATCTGTTCTGAAGCATCCTTTAAACATGTAGATGATTAAGGTTCATATCCAGGTAGGAAAATGTCTGCAACTTTTTTTGGTAATTTTTCTTGCAGGTCCTTGGCCAAAATGGGTCACAGAACCAACGATCTACGAACGTCTGTAACCCAACTTTACAATAACCCAAGCTTACTACCTTTAACGAAAAAACAGAAAAAATTGGTAACCCGAAATCCGGGTTCAATCATGGCAATTGCAAAAGGTGCTAAAATGGCAATAGACGAATGTAAATATCAATTCAAAAACAGGCGATGGAATTGTCCGACCTATGTCGATGGTCACGGTGGTTCTATATTTGGTAAAATTCTCAATACAGGTAAGGATTCTTATTGTTCTTCACATTATAATGGTAATAATAAGTAAATATCTTGATTTTTTCTGTATTTTACTTAAAGTATTGTTGAAGTAGAAATAAACGAAACGAAATATCTGTAGCTGAATTTAAATCAAATTGTAATGTCTCTTACTCATAACAATGAAATAAAAATTCGAAGAATTAGTCACAATTTTCCCACAGTTTGGATAAAATGAACCCAGTTTTTTTCCAATTTAGACTTTTTTTTGTCTTTTGAGCAAGTGAGGAGTAATTTAGTTAGTAAACATTACTTACTAAAGTTAGTAAACATTACTTATAAAAGTCAGGCTTCTCCGCCTTTTTACTTTGAAAATTTTTGACTAGATTTACAATATGGCTGAGAGTTGACCACGACATTTTTACTTATCTTTCTTACAAAGATCAAATAATTAAATATACCCCACCCCATTTTTGTTCTCATGTCTTGGGAAAATTTCATTGCTTCTGTTTCCGAGACATTTGTCAAATTCCGATGCGTATGTTATTCTTAAATCAGATCAAATTAATTAAATGTACTAGGTCATATAATTATATTTGAATACAGTATATATATACCAATAGGTCTTGCTCAAAATAATCATTATAAGATAATTATGTGAACTGTTCAAAGTTCATAAACCCCATAACTTCCGCCGCAACACTCATTTAACTCGGGCTAAAATGCAAAAAGGAACATTCTAAAACCGGAAAAAACAACATGATCCTATTGTATTATTAAGATGTTCACCCCATTGTGTACGACTATAAATAAGTTCCGAAAATTACAGCGTACAAGCAAACTCTACGAGGCATTTGAAAGAACATCCCCAAAAACTACAGAGCAAACCTGAATCATTGAAGAATTACAGAATGACAGAGTCAGATTGATGTAAACCTCCAATGAGTTACTGTTAACGAGAGTTATTAATCGATGGTGTTAATTTCACTCGGACTACTCTAATCAGTCTCACCATCTCGTTCATTATTAATCCCTAGCTTATCCTAGGTATTCAGATAAGAGGCCAACCATTGGTAGATTTTATTGTTTTGATGATACAAGGTGAGAAGTTGAAACTCCGGGGTCAAACTCTCAGATCTACCATGTGTCAATAAACAATTAGATTTAATTTTACCTATTATATCTGCAAGATTTATGGCTTTTTCGATATTGAAATATTTGAGTTGATACTTAAAACAAAGAAATTTTATAATGAATCCCAATAAATACGCTCAAACACGAGAAAACTGAATTTACAGAATCGCTTAAATAATGATATATAGGTATTTGAGTGAAGATTATAAAGTCATTCAGTCAATCATTCTTTTCAAAACTTATTCACCATAATGCCTATAGACTATTTCATAGATGTTTCAAAATTGATCATGTAAATCGTCACATACTCCAATTTTATATCATTAAATCACTCACATTTGTAATGAATAAGAAAGGTCTTATAATGTATCCTTGTCTGATCCTTTTTATATCTATGGTAGTGCTGGGTATCACCAACCATTCCACGTCACGATACGTGCAGCGATACACGGGTCACAATACGATACTTAACTTGATATCGGGGAAAAGGATTAACATTAATATTCTATCAATAGATGGTTTCCATATATAATAATATATAACTTTATAATTGTGATACTTGGTAATGTAATTGAATTGATAGGAGTGGTTAACGTCCATTGTTTTATAAATAGTTTCCTACAACTTCAGTCGAGTCAGTGATTGCATTATAACCATCTTATTAAATTCCTAATTTTTTTTATCTAATGAGAGGGCACTAATCTATGGTAACAAAGCATGCATCTTGAACATGCTCCATGGCAATCCCGATTACAAGAAAATCAAATGCAGTTTTCAAACTTAGTTAGTTAACGCTATAATTTGTAGAAAATCCATATTTATGACATTTGCATGAACTACATAGTATATGTATACAATAATACCCGAGTATTATAGTAATTGAAATGAAAAGTGATAATATAAATGTACCGAGGGCCCTGTTGCGATAACACCCAGGACAACCCATGCATTATTGCATGTTTATCGACTAGAACATACGGGTACGCACAACCAGGATAAAAATCGATGTCACGGCTCCGGAATGTAACGTGGGAGACACTGATTTTTGACTAATACTCGTAATGTGCTTGACAAATCTATAAAATTTGAGATCAATCGCTCTCACACCCTATAGCTACAAAACACTTTTTGTGACAAGGGGGTACAAGTCACTAACGACGATAACGTAACGATAACGTTACGGTCTACTTAAAGCTTTATCCCGCCAATGTTCAATACCGATATTCAATTTAATCAAAACTAAAAAAAATAAAACTGAATAACTGATCGCCCGATTACTTGTTGATTTCATCGTCTGTGATTTTTAGTTAAAGTCATATGAGTGAATAAGTGTATATGTTAGGATTTTACAATACAAAAGGTGTGAAAGAATTGCTGTTTTTAGCTAAGCTATATTTGAATTGTGTAAAATGCATTGTTAATGACATAAAGTCGTCTAAATTCTTAATTTACCTTTTAATGGAACCCTATCTCAGCCAAACATATCCTTTATCAGACATGTGTAACTTCAATAAATAAATGTTTAGAGGACTTGGTGGAATGTGCTACCATCTTGCTATATTCAGATAATGAGACAACAGCTTAACCCTCTGGGTTATAAAGACGAATCATATGAAAAGATTTTGTAAAAGCTGACTGAAATGTGCATGGTTTGATCCAAGGTTACGGTTTCGCTTATTTAATTAGAAGTAAAAACGACATTGGCAATACTATATTGTTTTGATTTGGATAAAATCTCAGGGTCGATATATATCTTTGGATTTTTCAGCCTGTTTTTCTCTTGTAAGTCGTGACGGTTGGAGGGCCTGTCTGCAAAAGGCATCTAGTCGATCGAATTTGAAAATAAACTGGGGTTCTCTGAGTGCAAGGCTTTGCCATTTATAAATCTACTAGCAGCAATAAATAGGAAATGAATGGGCAAAGGCCACCGTCCTTTCCTTTTCGTACTTGTATTGTACACTGTCTTTGTTAGCTTCAAACAAGTAGGACGTTAAACCCCATTTATATTTCAACAGTTCGATTGTTTATCAAATCAAGATTAAAGACAATATTATCTGATTTATTTCAAATAGATAAACTTTACGGATTAAAATTTCGTCATCGACTTTTGATCAACCCTTTGAAAGCCAATGAGAAATATGTCGTATTTCCTCCTTAACTTTAAAATGACACGACCAGATGGTTTACGATTTCATTAAAATCTTTTGTTTTTATAAGTTAGATTTTTTCAGGTGGCTCAAGTCGTTCTTGAGATAGATAGAATCTGAGAGCAATTGGGTTATCAATGGGACGTGTGAGAAAACATTATCAATCGACAATACCTCTTTTGAGCAAAGTTGCAGTATGTTCAAACATATTGCACACATAATAGTTTTTGTGGCTGCTTGAATAAATCCGATGCCTAGATCCCTGGGCTGGACATCAAGCGCTCACTTTTTCAATGGATGTGGCTAAGCCATTCTTTTACATTATCTTGAATGGCTAGTGAACTTAATGGTGCATGTCTATCTCAATGTTTTGAGTTGTTGTTGGTTTATATTTGTTGTGGGGGATTCCTCTAATAGCACACTACCAATATGCCAAAGAAGGATAAGACGTAAAACTCATTTCAATTCTCGCATAAAAAACCCATTTACTTCCTATTTTAATCTGAATTCGATCCTCTACAGATATTTCGTCCCTGAATCATATACATAAAAACAAATTGTTTATCTAAAACTTTCCTTATATCTAGGAACTAGGTGTTAATGGTTTCGAAAACATTTATTAATAATGTGTGAACCCTTTTTAAAGTGAGTTTTTACCCCCTGAGTGGATCTGAAACCAACCCCACGATCAATTCGAAGGCAAAGTGTGAAATCTATCGACATATTTTGTCTATGATACAGGTGACGTCACATGTTCGGTTGGCAATATAAACGAAGCCATTGAGTTTGGAAAGTAAATCGATTTTGATATTTTTCTTGAAATTTTTCTTCATTGAACAATTTTGCCTGTTTTCGTCATCTATAAATTTTTGACAACTTTTACCATATTGTTGCCAATATCTAGTACCCCCGAAACAGGACGTAATACTCACATATTAATGTCGCAAACAATTCTGTGGGTTTTTACTTTTCAATATACGATAGGAGAAACATACCGAACCCAAAAATGATTTAGAAAAGTAAACAACTTATAAAATTTGTTATCAACCATCAAAAGTTAGAGAGTGAGCATTTAACACCATCCTGCTAGACTCCATTCACAATTATTACACTATCTATCACTATATCTGAACAACTGATTCAAACCCGATAGCCATAAAATAGCATCGAGGATACATAAAACATATATAGGCGAAACCGAAAATCATCCTTTAAAAGGATTTAAAGACTTAAAGAGTGTAGTAAATGACCACCCAGTCTTTTCATAAACATGAAGCTCGGCTAATTTTTTATGGGGTATACATTTCTCTAAGTGATCGCAATTTATTATTTAGCCACCAAAGTTTCTTTAATGATGTGATTTATGCCGCTTTTAGCGTGTTACAGTCGACTGTTTCCTTTTCGCACGCCTTATTTTCACCCTTGCTATTGTGTATCAAGATTTTTATGGTTCTATGTCCATTAAGAAGAAATGAAAAGTTCGTTAAAAGCCTAAAAGTTTATAGTTTATGATGCTCACTGAATTGATTTTGGGCAGGTGACTTCATAAAAATACGAAATTAAAACCTTACATGTTCTGCTCGTTTGCCCTTAATGACTCTAACATACCTATCAAATAGTCTATAGAGACATATTTTTGAGATGACAAAAGTGACTTTTACTTATTGTTTGTGCAATTTGATTCAACACTTTTGAGTTCATTCGCTATGTCGACTCTCATCCTCTATTGGACACACCCACAAAACAACTTTGTTAATTGTGGAGTGTTGGCAGAGTAGGCACCTTATATTTTTGAAACTTTGCATTTGTGCCTTTCTGAGACCCCAGTTAGCTAATTTTATCTATAAAATATACGTGTATTATGAAGGCAATAAACCAAAAAAAGAAATGTCTCACCCTACCCAGTTGTAAGGGATTGCGACCAGTGATTTGTACGGGCATCTTGATAATCGTTAATTTATTCAAGATCACCAGATAAAATTTATTTTTAGGCCCTTATCAATCTATTTTGATATGATTTTGGAGGCGATTTATGGGATACTGTGGGAAAATATTTAATTCGGAAATAGATATTACGAAAAATATAGACTTGCCTGTTCTGTATCAGAAAATCTTTTTTTCGTTTTAAATTTAGATCTTGTCAGCAAAAATGCATGCCTTATGATTGAAAACCATGTATTCTTCTACATTTATTTATCAATTTATTAATTCATTCATTCTTTTATTCATTCATTCATTCAAATAACAACACAAGTCATGATTATCTTGAGGTAAACCCCAAAATTATTTATATATTTGTTTGATGTTCTGTATTGAATTAAAAAGCAAACATAAATCATCACATTCAAATTCAAAAGGCGGCACACAATTAATTCAATGGTATTTAAAAAATTCAGACATAACGTTAGATTATAATCGAGATTATTTCTCGAATGAATGAAAACATAACGGCAAAAAAGTCTACCTTGCGTTATACCCTTTTTATAAAGTCACTTTTATACTTAAATTTATTTTAAAAGGCTAATCTTTATTAGAATCTCTATCGCGTGTGTCTGTTTTGTTAATAAATACCTTTTTTACAATTGTACAGATGAATTATACAAAAATATTAATAGGCAATAAATAAATGGTGGTGTTCTATGAACAACTAAAGGGGGTCTGGAACGACCTTGCGACTTGCAAAGTCTATGAGCATCAGGACTTTCGATTTTCAACGACCGTTAGCAGCAGGAAGGATCTTGTAAAATTTGATCGATGGCTGAATTCTTTTAAAAAATTGCAGTTGCCACAAGTTGCCTGTTCGAGTTCCACTTCCCAGCGATAGCTGGATATTGTCGTTGCTATCAGGCGGTAAATTTCTGATACAAGCGATGCATCTTTGTAACATTAGGACGGATATTGCATGAGTCTAACGTATTCAAAAGATGCTAAATGATGAACAAAAATTAGGAAAAATTGTTTTTTGTAGATTTCTTAGCATAAACAATTCACGAATTCATACAGAAAATTTACTAGAATACACGGATCAGAGCTATATTCAGCTATGTGCTTTGAAAATGCAAGTAGATATCAGAGATATGTAAAAAGCGTGGTCAAGTCTGTACGATTTTAGAATTAGAGGAATTTTCTGGTGAATTTCATGTATGTTTATTTCAGAGTTCCTTCCCTTCTTACACATTAATCTAACTCATTATAGGTGTTAATAAAATCATACATTTCTTTTCCTGTTTGAGCTAATAAAAGAGAAGACACAGCTCCAAATATCCTATCAAACTACAGAATGGGCATTATGTTTAAATAATGTTGTTGCAAAACTACACGTTCTTGAAGTTTGGTTTTCGATTTTGACGAAAAGGATGAAGATAGTTTACACCCATTTGGTCCATATAGCCTCATCATCAGAGCAGAAAAAAATAAACGTAAAATAAATCTGGCTGGTTCAAAAACTAAAATACATCCAATTATGTTTTTCTCATTGCAGGTTGTCGTGAAACAGCGTTTATTTATGCCGCTACTAGTGCTGCTGTTTCGCACTCTATTGCACGTGCGTGTTCGGAAGGAAGTATTCATACGTGCTCTTGTGATTTTGAACATAATAAAGTTCCTGTTGGGAAAGACTGGGAATGGAGCGGATGTAGTGACAATGCTCGATATGGACATAAATTCTCTCGGAGATTCGTGGATGTGCTCGAGAAAGGACGAGACTTCCGGTATATGATGAATTTACATAATAACGAGGCTGGACGAGTGGTGAGTCGGCATTTTGTTTAGATATAAATCCAAAATTAAAATCAGATTACAATTTTTTTTCCCAAAATTTTCCATTTCCATTGTAAGCTAACAATTTTTCTATTGCACTTACGTTCTAATGACGTTATTCTTTACCAATCAAAGCGTGTTATGTAGAGCCAGTTTCTTAATGATAATGACGAATTGTCGGATAGCGCAAACCAAAGTAGACAAAACTATCAAAAAAAAAAAGAAAATAACCGTATTCTGATTTCAATTGGATTTAAAATAATTAAGGATGCCTTTCTGATTATTGGATCTTGTTGCATGGGTGCGAAAAAATGGTTCAGACAATTGGTAAGTGACTAGTTCGAAATTTGTCTCACGGTGACAAAAATCAATGACATATTCACTTAAGGAATGCAAAGCGAACTGTATCTATAGAAGAAAATTTCAAATCACGTAGAGCAAGATGCTATAAAAGATGTATGGCCCAGAGCTGTTAAACTAGGACAATAAACAGTAAATTTTAATTATACCCTATCGTCAAAACAAATAAAATCTTGACGAGATCAGAACATTGATATCTTCTGTGAACTCTCCCTTGACTATCGTGCTGTATCAATGGTATACAGAGTTTTCCACGAATATCCCTTGATGTAACAAGCAGTTTATATAGCAAATCGAATTACCTTCAGTGGGTCCATATTCATAAATTTCTCTAAACCATCGTGTTGTATCAATGGTAGTTTTTGACATTTATCCTTTAATGTGATACCAGCTTCATAGTCATCACATGGCTAATAATGATATCATTGCTGAAGTTAGGCTACCTCTGGAGAGTCCACTTAAACATCTACTGTTTCTACTTTCAGCATGTATCGTCTGGTATGAAACAAGAGTGTAAATGTCATGGGATGTCTGGTAGCTGTACCATTAAAACATGTTGGATGCGTCTTCCTCCTTTTAGAAATATAGGTCATATATTAAAAGATAGATTTGATGGTGCTTCAAAAGTCCTTCCTGGTAAGATAGCGTCATAAGAATGTCATAATTTGCAATTTCCAGATCTCTGAAACATAATCCACATTCAAATATTTTCATCAATCAAAAGAAAGCTGGGTTCTGGTAATTTGCAACTAGGAAGATGAAGGGAAAAACAAGATGAGCTTAATACTCCATTTTGGTTTGGTTATCTGTTTAAAGCAGCTAATCGTATAACATAAGATGAACTGGGTGTTGGGTGTTATGTATTATGTTATTCCTATAAAATTGTTCGGTATTTGGTACTATGCTTGTCGAATTGATTGGTTCCATGTTTTTCTTGAAAATCTATTATCTCAATTATCTCTATTATTCAGGCAATACTGGAAGAGCTGTTAAGAGAAAGCGACGAAGGTTCAATTTTAGTCCCGTTAATCCAAACCACAAGCGTCCTGGACGACGTGATTTAGTCTACTTTGAACATTCGCCAACTTTTTGTGAGAAAGAAAACATGATAGGATTTGAGGGGACGGCAGGCAGGGAGTGTAACTCTACCTCACTCGGTGTGAACGGTTGTGACCTTATGTGTTGTGGACGCGGATACAAATCCGAAACGTTTCCTGTGAAGGAAAGATGTCATTGTACTTTTCATTGGTGCTGTCAAGTAAAATGCCAAGTGTGCACTCGATTAAAGGTCCGGAACACGTGCTTATGATTATTTGGATCGCAAGAGGCCAGTGTACTTTCCATCGAAGCTTTGAAGAAAAATTTCAAGTGGGCATTCGATTAAATCAAATGTACGCGTTCGTACACCCGTTTCAAGATAACAATCGGATTATGTAATGGTTACTTCCGGATCAGACGTGCACATGACTATTATGAATTTTTGTTGTTACCATTATACAGTTGTCCGAAAACTATTTATAAATGCAGGGGTCGAGATTTTATTTACTTTTGCATTGTTATTAAAATAAGAATAATTTCATTCTTCTTTAATGTTTCTCTGTAGAAATATGCATGCAAATCTTTTAATGTAATCTTGTTGACTTCTTTGAATTGATGTGAATTGAATTTTGCACTATGTAATTGTGGTGAAAGGTTGGTTGTCATATATTTGAGAATTTACTGATTAGTGATTTACTAGTTCACATTGACATCTAAATATATGGTACGTCCTGTCCTGTTAAATTAATACGTACTGTCGTACTGGTAATAGTGTCTAGAAAAATGCTACGTACTGATTTGTACTGATTTATAAGAACATTCGTACTAAACCCTTTTGGTTCTTGCTGGCATGGAACTAATTTGAAATGCAAATTTTTCGTTCTGATTTATGAATGGTTCGAAACGGCAGAAAAAAGTTTCGAACTCACTTATAAATGGTACATAGTGACCATACTGTAAAAATAGTAAATTGTAAAGTTCCAATATCGTTGTTTATATTATAAAATTATTATATTTATTTCATAGAGATTATACTTAATAAATGTTTTATACAAATTTTGCATTTGTGTAGCTTCTTTATATTGCTGAAATTCAGACATCGGAATTGGAACGGAATTTACTATACTTTCATAGGGATACTTACTGCAGAGGACATCACTAGAGGCATGCTCACTTCCGGAACACATGATGTCACACAACAAGAAGAAGAAGGTATTACGTTAAGCCTTACATTATCATAGGTATACTTACTGCAGCGGAAATCACAAGATATGCAGGACACGGTCACTTAAACGGAAACACGGAACACTCAATGTCACATGTTAAAGGAATACTACCACTAAGAATGGATTTAAAATTTTAAAGTCTCAACAAGTGAATATATTCATCAGTTGGACTTACCAGGTGCTATGACTAAAGAATACAATCAATACAATACAATATATCCATTAAACTAAATAATTATTGAAAACCGCTTCTAAACATGTTTCAAAATAACTTAGTTTAATGAATTATTTCTTAGTTTTATGTATTTATTGTATTAAAGCGGGATTCTGTTGAAGAGTTATGACACCAGGTAAATCCACTGATGAACGAAGGCTGATTTTGGCTAAGTTTGAAATTTCAATTTTTAGGTCATCCCACGAGGAAGTATACCTTTTAGAAGAACAAGGTATCAGTTTTGAACTACTTTATGTTTTACATTATCTACAATCAACATTATTACATTATAAAATACTACATTTATTTTCATATTCTATTGGACATTTATACACAGTATCGCTACAGTTAAAATTTACACTGCACTGATATTTATAAAAGATTTGCACGATATTTAGTATCTATATTACTACGATAAAAATTTACACAAAGGCATTCGTTATATCTATACGCATTATACATTGAACAGAAATACGTTCAACCAGGGTACACTAGCAGAACGAGTCGATTCGGGTGTATTGCATTCCTCGATATACATGTTCGAGTGCACCCAGAACACGGTTACGAATGAAACTTAGTATTAAAATACAACTGATTGAAGTGAGATATCATAGTCGTGTATAGTCCAGAAAATATATCTCACGCGGGGACTTTGCGAACATAAACAAGAGCAGTCCACTTTATTTTTGGGGTAGCTTGATCGGTAATTACAGGCTAAATAGATATTAATTTGCCCTACCTCGAAACAGATTAGACAATTATGGAATCGTTCCAGGACTTACATGGATATATTCGCTTTACTAGATATATATATGTATTTGTTAGACGTTTAAAGCATAAATGAAAGTTCTAAACTAGAAATTACCTTCATAAGTCTACAAAGTTATTTTGTCTACATGAAAACAATATACAATAATACATATGAGACTTGTATCCAAAAGACAACCATCCAACCGCACTGATTGGCCCAACCGGAAGTAATAAAGAATATTTGCGACATTTCTTAATTGTGGCGAAATTTAAAACACTTATAACTTTTAGGTCAAAGTTAAGTAGTTTCTGTCCTTTTATGATTTTATGATATAAGCATTTTCTGCAGAAATTTTTACTTCCGGCTGCGTACACAGACACTCGGATGAGTGGATTTTAAGGTCACCACAATACCTATGGCACTATAACACAAAGTTAACAAACCTCTACAATGAATTCATATTGCATAATATCAAAAAGCACTATTGTGGCATGAAAGGTGATTGCTATGGCAATGGTACTGGGAATTTTGTTCGAAATCTAACCTTTGCTGTAATAAGTCGACACTTCCGTTGCTAATGATTAACAGCATCATCTTACGTCTATTCTATTTGACCAATCAGTGTACGCGTTACATAATTAATTATTATTAATGATTTCGCGCCATCTTTTGCCTCGAAGATCATTGTTGGACGAGAAGAATAATCAAAATTTAGGCCTCAATTTCAGCTTGTTGCAGCAAAGGATATATGTCAAAATCTCAAACCATCTCTGTTATAGCATAATGTGTCGGTGACAGCACTAAAATGCTAAATGAACATGATTCTATTGCATGCAATGAATATTATTCCAGCGATTGTTTATCCACAAAATCTCTATCCAACATTTACTTGTTGGTGTAAAAACCATCAACGATCGTATCATATTGAAAAGGACCGTGAAAGGCAAAAATGCTATAAAGACATTTTATGACATTCCATAGAAAGCCCAATAAAGGGATAGAGTCGTCTGATTATTCGCTTTAGCAGCAGAGCTCAATGAAAAAAAGACGTCTGCTTTGCAGCCTGTGAAAAGGCTAATTTTGGAATTTAACAGTTGTTGTAGCAAATTACTAGACGACTGTATCCCTTCAGTAACGTGACATTTGTCCTCGTATTCACAATGTATTTTCATACATATATTTTGCATACAAATTGGCATTAAATTAATTAATAACACTATATAATAAATAAAAATATCTACTTGTATAACATTTGTTCTTTGACATTATATGTACATTAAAATTTTGCATAATCTATCTGCATATATGGTCAGAGGCTGATACATCGATTATAAGAAGCTTTGATGCTTGCAGCACTAACTCGTTAGTGCTGTTACTACAGCACAAAGCTGATGACATAACGTTAGACAATCTTATTGAAATAGACCAAACTTCCATTTTATAATTCTAATCTAGCCACTACATTAAGGGTCTAACGATGGTGCTTTTGATAACTCTTTGAGTCAACCTGATGACTTTTAATATCAATAACGTTATCCACTACGATTCTGTTTGTTTCAAAATGTTTCTATTTCAATTTTGATTACATTTTGTAGCTTAAATGACTAAAACATTATGTTCTAGTACTACATAACAAAGTCAGGTGATTACATTACTTTAATATCAATATCGATTACCATTAGGTTTATCTAGCGCAGGTTACGTTTGGTAACGTTGAGAGTTCGCTTGTAATAAATTCCATCACGTTTCCAAAAAAAAAAAATCTCGTTACGTTCTAGTACTACTGCACAGGTCCGTTGATTACGTTCGTTTAAATTTTCGATTACGTTTTCAAACACAGGTAACATCATATCTTGCTAAGAAGGCTCTAAATAGAATAGCAACATACATTCACAAAATAAACACGTCATAAGCACCTCGTTTCCGTTTTAATTTTCTGACACGTTTCACATATGACCTCACAACACCACATGAAACGACAGTTACAATTTTCTTTAATAGTCACTTGCTTTTTAGAATAGTTCCGACCACAGCACAATAAGTCACAGCCCCCTACCCCCATTGACGTGGGGTCACATTCCCTACCCCTCGTCCCTAACGCACCTTCCTTTTTGTTTCTTCGGCAGAAATCCGGGGACTCCTCCGAATAAACTAAGTCTTCTTTTGATGGCGGTTTGATTGTATCTCCTTCCGGTATTAAATATTTCCCATCATTCGAACTGATGACCTTTGACCCGCCATCGAATTTCTGTTTTAGGCGATTGCCGACGTCTCTAAATAATGGCATTTTTCTCCAGCAGGTTTTCAGAGTACAAGAACCGGAAAGTCCATGACATTTACATTCTTTGCGCATGTATTTTCTGACAGCCTGAAATATAAAAGTTATAAATTACAAGCAGCCATTGTATCGGCCATATTGCATTTGAAATATCATTAAAGCAATTAATAAAAAAAAAAAAAAAAAATAAAAAAAAAAAAAAATTGGTCAGAAGCTGTATATAAGTTTTCTATAATCTCACCTGCCGCCCTGCTTCATTATTATGCAACTGTACTAATGTTGTGACATCACCACGGCGACGTTTCCTTCTACGTGCATCCATGAATTCGCGCGATTTCTGATATCCAAAATCCACGTTATCGCCACAACCTCCCCACTCCCATTCTCCGTCCGTGGCTATATCTCTCAGGTTGTTATCGCACGTACATTGCAGTAGTCGCCCCATACTACAAGCCTCCGTTACAGCATATACTACTCCGGCCGCTGTTATGGCATACACGAACGCTGCTTCTCTCGTATCTGTAAGTAGAAAGTAGATATGACTTATAAGTAAATAGTAGCCTATAAATAAATGATCGGTAATGATATATATATATATATATATATATATATATATATATATATATCTGTATTTATATATTTTACTTTGTGAAAAAGATCTATAAAGGCTCTGTGCGTCTGATACATATTACCCTTGATAGCAGACCAATTCTCTTAAACTAATAACCCCACTGTGCTATATCTGTCATTACTCAATTTGATCACTTAACAATAGTTTAACACACTTTAATATCGGAAACTATACAAATTGGCAACATCGTCAAAATCACGATTTTGTTTACGATGAATCTAATTGGCCGAGAGGCAAGTCCTCAGCTAATTAAAAGTAGCGATGAGGATATATGTTGGGTAGCCAAAGGATTCCCTCAAACATATACGTAAATACTTGTACAAAAGTGCAACAAATAAAATTTGCTTTATTTCACTCCATTTTGTAAAATTTTCAGATTATTATTAGTACAACGCTGTTTGTACTCTTGATACTGGACAATAAATTATTTGGTAGTGTTAAAATTAATAAAGTTCTTAGTCTTGTTTGACAATACGAACACGTGCTAAACAACTGTCGGATTTCAACAATAAACTTTGTATTTTATTGTTATCAGAAACAAGTATGATGTAGGGCTCATAAAATTTGAGAAAATTCGACCTCGGATTTGATCTTTTCCTATCATGGCGATGGTCTGTTCTTTAACTATGCGCACAGCTTTGTCCGCTATTCAACTATGCACACGACAACAGACGACTTGGTTCTTTCAAGCCGCTAAAATATTAATTTTTAATCTAGTTTTTTTATGAATAGTTATAGACCCGAAGTTAAATATGCGAAATAAATTAATTTTACTCAAAGAAAAGCTGTATTTGTAATACTCGAAGGTTTACCGCTCAATAAATTTGTAATAAAAGGCATTAGGGGCATTAAATGCGCCTTAAAGACGCCCTGCTATGACCGTCATCGACGTAGGTATGATAATCTAAATTTGACATTGGGTCGACTGCAACAAAGGCGTTACATATCTTTTCATAATGCATCATATTCTATACCACAAATAAGCAATCGTCATTCCCTGTTATATTCTTGGTACTGTCGATTTCACGTTATTTCGTAAAATGGTATGCCACTCGTGCGGCGATCGAATCCACTCAAATATGATATGGAATTATATGAAATAATAAATGTTTTACATCTTAATTTACTGCACCCTATTGTTAATGAAGACAAGTTAGATGTGCAGTGTGCAATGAGAAAAATGTATTGAAAAGCGGCCACCAGTTTTTTCCAACTGTCCAGGGTTCTCTAACTACACATCTTTCGACACACTTATCTTATTTATTGTGTTTTGCAAACGACAAAACCATATTTTCGTGTCATTTCCCCCGACCTGCATAACTTTGGGAAACCGAGTTGTAGGCAGCGTATTCTGGAATACCAGTTTAGCGGGCAAGCATGAACCAGGTGAGCCACCTCATAGATATTATGGCATTTAATTTCTGATCTCTATGCGTCATCTCAGTGTGGTTTCTCAACTCATATCCCGGAGTAACTAAAGACATCCACAAACATCTCAATGTCCACTCATAAAACCACCATAAACCCTTTCAATATAATGGTAGATATGATTATTCCGAGGAGCACGACGGGAATGCTCGTTTTATGATCCCTTAATGTCATCTTGTTACTCTTTACATGGTATTCGTGGACCACCTTGAAAGTTCAGATTAAAATACTAGAAAAAGTAAAATTCACGTCGATGTTGAGACCTCGTTTTAAGTTAAATCTTTTCCTCTCTCTAAAAAAGAGCATGGTCCGGTTTTTGAAGGGATTTTCATGTAGTTCTACTATTTTTGAAGATTATGTACAAACATTCAAAACCCAAATCAATCCCGAAAATGGTGAAACATGCCGTTTAAAGGAAATAACCACTATATCAGCTGATAGAAAAGAGTTTCGGCTCTGCATATCATTTTTTCAGCACTCCCGGTGATATTAAAATCATATTCTAAAATATTCAAAACCAAAATAGTAAAATACTAATTTTAAACATATTTCTACCACTTTACATAATATAACTTGAAAAATGTGTTTTTGCATTTTCAGCATTTTTTTTTCTTATTATTAGTAACATATAATTGATAATTTGCTCAGTAAAGATATAGAGTTTAACTTAATAAAAGAACACAGCATCTTTCTATAGAACCACGGTTCCAATCTGCATGAAACTATGGCAAGATATTCTACAAATTTCTTTATAGCAACCGATTCTATAGAATTGTTCAACAGTAAAAAAAATAAGTAGAGTTCTTTCAACTCAAGTTTTTTTCTGAGAAGACTTCAAAGAGATTTTGGTAGTTAAGGCAAGAACCAGACTCCGTAAATGATATTCTACACCCCGTACACACAAAACGTTTTAATCGGCATTCGTCATTAGCTGTTGGTCGGGAACATATCTGACTTAATGAAATGATGTGACGGTTTACATCCTTCTTTACTGCTTTTGGTTTGGGTTAATAAAGATGGCCAACGTCTAGCAGTGAGTAATGAGTTAAAGTTTTTAATAGTGGCATTAAAAAATACCGAGGATCTTAAGGTGCAAGGTTTTAAACATTTAAAGAGACTGTAAAGAGGTTTTCTGAAATTTGTATGTGTATCGGGACACTGAGAGTATCAATTTGCCCCATTCCAATTTTGTGGTTCTTGCAATTTCACAAAAGAATACTTTTATGGCATAAGGTACGAACTACTTAGTTTTAGTGGAATTGCAAGACCCACAGACACAATCATTACTTTAACAGTAATTACGAAAGCTGTGACATTTTTCTGAACCTTCGGCGATTGTGTCTGATTGCCATTTTAGTGTACGAACAGTTGACGTTAGCTTGTCATACGGTGAAACGTTTTAGTTTCCAATCAGACTTGGATAAGAAATTACTGTGTGAATACGGCTTAGATTCTTCGCTAACTATCTTTTACTTTCGACTACAAAAAAGAACATATGTCTTTTTGAAATCGGCAACATCAAAGGGTTGGTAGGCCATAAATATGATGAGGTTTCGAAATCAAAGCAATCATTATGGCAAAGTGCACACAGCGATTCCTTTACTGTGCCAGAAAATGACGAGAAAGCTCTGATAATATTTTGTCGGCTTCTTTGATGTGTAACCTTATCCGTATCGCACGCGCTCTAACTGATTGATGTTTGCCGCTTCAAAGAGATTTTTCTTTTGATCTTCTAATTAAATGACCCTCACTGCAGATAGAATTCTGCAAAAATGGCCTAATTTCTTGGTAGAAAATACTTAGCTCTATCATTTTACTAGTTTCGTCTGGTTCTAGCCAAACGTACGTCGGTTCTTACTCAATCGTTTTTGGGGTTTTGAATTTTCAAACTTAGAGAGTATTTTAGCAGCCTTTTATACAAAAATGGTGAGTGTCTTCTAATATATATTTTCCTTTATGTCTATTCACTCACATTTTTTGTATTTTATTAATATCTTTCTGACAATTTGCTGTTAGATTTGTCAGTGGCTAGTCAAAGTTGAATTAAGGTTTAGGACCAGTGTGTTGAAGACGGTACAGAAAGGAATACGAAATGATTGCATAGGATGCCTAGGGTGATATTTTCTATTAACAAGAGAAAGGAATATTGTTTATTTTGACCGCGTTTCGAGTGGTTTGAGGGAATTGGATATGTTTTTCATATGTTGATATTAATGATTTAATTTAGTGAAGACGGTACCTAAAAGTATGGACTTTGGTTAAGTTACCCATTGATAGAACGGACCAGCTGTGTGTTAGGCTTGTCTAGTGTTTTGTACTTGGGGTAAAAGTCAATGGCTTTGCTCTTGTGACCCCTCCCACGTCTTCGGATAGCCTATTTTGGGAATTATATGAACTTTGTGCCTTTTTTTATGGGTGATCTTATTAAAATTCAGTACAAATATTTCGTTTCGTATTTCCTGTGCTATGACACCGTTCAAAACTTCAACAAAGTACAAAAACGAAACGAATAGTGAATCAGATTGAAAGTTTGGTTGTTAAAAGCCAGTTTGCTTGAATGAGCTCGCACGCGTAGCGTGTGAATTTATGAATAGGAATTCAAGAATTCCATGACTTTAACAGTCAGACCGGCCTTATAATGTTGGTTGGTCTTACTTACCCTTCATTACGAACTATAACAGCTTTTAGGAATTTGGTCATATGAGCACTTGTTTTTTTTTTTTTCATTTTTTACTAATGAAAAATAATTTTATATGTTAATCTCTTAAAATGATGAATTTTTTGTGTATGATTTTATGAAGTTTAACACAATTTCACACATTGCACACTACGTGACGTTGTGGGTCATCTTCAGTTAAATTAGGACGTAAAACTCTATTTTATTGTATTGTAGCGCGCTGTAAGAGCATAAACTGACGCCTGTTAGAATCAAAAGAAACAGAACTTCGAATTACATTCCTTCTGTTTCTGTGAACGCGTGTGTAAAGACTGCGCCTTCGATACATATTTTTTTAAAACTAATGGTTACATTTAACAGGTTAACTTTTTTTCTTTTTTCTTGTTTTAAACAACAGAACGTGCTCGCGAGGTTGTTAGAACGCGTGTTTCTATGTCTTTGTTAAATATCAATTTTTGAACTTTCGCTCCTGTGTAAAAATTTTCGTACATCCAAATTTATATTAGTTAACATCACACTCCACGTGACACATTTGAAGATCAACTTGACGTAACATAACGTTACATATTTTGGTTAGTCGATAATACAAACGTACTATTTCTTTTATAGTTTTACATCGTTATTATATAACGTAAAATATATATGAAAACATTTTTTACGTTACAAAGAGTAACAAAGGCTTTACAACTACGGCATATTTTCTAAAATAAGATAAACCGACGATGTGTATTTTTCATTTTATGGGTAAGGTCTTCCCCTCGTAGATTTATACTATTTTATTAAACTTTGTTCGGAAAATGAAAATAATGAACTCAAACTCAATACTGAGTTGAAACACTCAATCACAGTGTGACGTCGGGTTTTACCGGACAAGAATTCTTGTCCCAATAGCGACATCCGTCACATTAAATGTTAAATTGGTCCTCAATTTGAATAATGTATACGAAGAATGTAAGTTATCGTAGATGCACAAAGCCTTGTGATGAAGATGACTATTTGTTTCTAGAAGTTTCGATATTACCACTCTCACTCCTTAATTAACACTCCAGGCCCATTCAATCCCATGATTCCCTGGGGTGAAATTATTGAATGAGTCACCTCCCCTTATTTGATATACAAGTAGTTATAGGTATCGTATTATATGTACCGTTATATGACGCGCATAATGTATTTTCCACGTGCTTTTCACATTACTGATCAATTTTTAGTGGCCGTTTAGAAGAACTCCTTTATTTTTTATTGCCTAAGGACGATTATTTTATATTTTATGTTGGAAAATGACACAATGGAAAATAATTTTTGACAATCCTTTAAAAGTAATGGCAAAAATAAGAAAAATGATTAAAAATTGTTATGGAATATAAATTAATTTTCTTTTATACAGAATTTTTATTGTTTTTAAATTTAAAAGTTGAAATTGGTTGGTTGAAATTTTTATCCATAAGCCTTCGCTTGCATTATTTTCTCGTTTACAAAATATTTACAGAATTTAAATAAATTAGAGATATATAAAATTGCCCGCTTTTTTGTTTTGCCCATAACATTTTCAGAAATGATGAACTTATGAACTATATTTTTGAGAATTCTCGAAATTTACACAAATACATTTTGGTGGAATTATTTAAAAATTTGACTGACAGATGCATGACGTTACGCTCGTGTTTGAATCTTTGGTTTCGATTTCTTTTGATATTTATAATATGGTGCCACGCTCGTTTCTAGAACGCACAGGCGCGTGCTTAAAGAATTACTCTCCCTTGCATCATAAATAGTTTTAGATATACCGAGTCTTTTAAAATTGAAATGAAATAGAGTTTTTTCGAAACTTTTCAATAAAAACTGAAATTTTACCTTCTTTTTTACACCGATAACGGAACAGACAAATATTGGAAGTGTGCTTTAAATGCAAAAATTAAGTAAGAAAAGCGACGTAGCAACCATACTGAAAAATTCTAGAATATTTCATTTAATGAAAAAGAAAAGCTTCTATTGCACATTTTCCCGTAAACTGTTGCCAAAAAGCGGTACAACAATGCTCTTTTTTTGTTATCCATGTAGAGGAATCTTTAATGTTTGTAAGTCTATCTACAATGAGTTCGGTAGCGGATGAGGATGTTAAATGTTATCAGCCATGTGTTCGAGCGTCGACGTTTTGTTTACTTTTTCTTTTCATTCGCTTGGTTTACAGGTTGTTAAAACTAGTTAAATAAATTATTAGATAATTTTTTGATTTTTTCATAAATTTTTAATAGACAATAATATCAGGCAGGGAAAATTTCTGGATTTTTTTTTTTAAATATTAGACAATTATTTTTGAAACATTTGCTTATAAAATGCCATGGAGTTTTACGTCCTACTATTCCGAACTGTATATAAATTGATTAAAAAAGTTAAATATGATTTTGCATCTGCGTTTCTTCATCATAAATTATATTCGACAATTCGGCTGAGATGTAAAATGTGAAACTTTTAAAATTTTATATACAAAACAATAAGGAATTGATTTTCTGAAAATATAAAATGTTTTTGAATGTGATATACATAAACTAAAAATACATCAATCGATTGAATAAATGGAAAATCCTTTTCTCTTAACAGTCATGGCGTTTGAAAGCAAAAAAGCGCAAAATGAAACATAAATATCAACCCTCACTAACAATTCGGACTATTAGACGATTCTGCATTTTTCTAATAACTCAAATTTATTTGGAAGCAATTTTCTTATAATAGCATTTTCTAATATTTGTACTTGGCTTTCGATTTTAAATTAAAATGATTTTCTCGGACTGTGTTATTCTAATTCTAATTACATTTTATTCAATTTTAAATTCTATATTGTGTTTGAATTCAAATATATTGTTAGGACTTATTATCATTCCTTTTTGGTGATTTTCCGAATTCTACATTACTTCCTAAACATTGATTGACTTAAAATTCATTTCATTTGTTTTGTTTGATGAGTTTTAACCTTTGCACTTACTATTTCCTATTTACTGAATTTATGATTTACAGATTTATGATTACCAAATAATTTGTTGTCACGACACACAATTTTAGTAGTATACTATTGTGGTGTATTGAACACAACGTTTCAACGATTTACATTCCTATCATCAGGTGATGTTAATTGTTTAGTTGTGGTGTACTATCAAACTTCGGAGTTGTATATCATAAAATTTTGTCCCGTTATTTAATGTGACAAAGTGTCTGTTACTGATTACTACTACGTTTTCTACATTTAATTCATGACGTTTTATTTTCGGTTTGTTGAATTCTGATTTTATTTTGAAGTCATTTAATATAATTCCACAATATCTCTGTCACAATTGATTTTGATTTATTTAATTTTATATTTACCTAAATAATAGTCTTATTCTATATTTGATAGATTTCTCTATTTTGTCGCCGGCATGCGATTTTCATTTCAATGAACATTATTTATTCATAAATTCATAATATTGAAATAATATCCAATCAAAATTAATTACTTGAATATTATATTTGTGGAATAAATTCGCGAATTTTATGAAATTATTAAATAAACGTTGGTTCATTATTTTCGACCACGAACGCGGATTTCCATTTTTCGCCGAACTCTTTATTTTCCAAATAACTGTAATTATGAGACTTGTGATGGCAAAATATTATTTTTAATTGGCATGCAGATTGACTCGAGCCTGAGAATTATTTTTAATTATCAAATTTAGGCGTCTTTGATCTCTTTGAGACCAAAAGAATAAAATTAGTCCGTCTTTATTAGTCATTTTCAAGCATTCAGTAAAATTTGATGCAGTTCTTTTTGAAATGCTACGGGCCGTTTGCGATATTATGATCAAATATTTTGTAATATTGGCATAATTAATAAAATCACACTTCTATTTTATTACAAATTTACGATGACATTTTTTGTTCTTTTCGTTTCAGGAAAAAAAAAATTAATATTTTGTTGTAAATTTCTACTATTTAACATTTGTCACATATCAAGATTCTGTTGTTCAAAATGAATTCGGAACAATGAAACAAATTGTGAATTGTAGGTTAGGCAGATGGCACACTTTTTGAGTGTGACTGACTTTTCGTTGATTTCATTATTTTATTTTATTAGTTTATTATTCCAATTACATGTGTAGTTAATTAAGAAAACCAACTTTAATTTTAAACAGAAAGGCATTTATGGATACAACACAGAAAGGCATTTATGGATACAACACAGAAAGGCATTTATGGATACAACACAGAAAGGCATTTATGGATACAACACTAAGTACAAGAAGCCAATCTTGAGTCCGACTCCTTACTTGGATTTTTTTTTTATTAGGGAACGGTATGAGAATGTACTACGGAATTATCGACACATTAGAAAATCGCAAATCATGTCCGAACTCGTAACTGATGTATTCGCTTCTTTTCTTTCCAATTGTTTCGTACTATCATCGTACATTATAACCATAAGGTTGTACATATGGGATAAGTGTCCTATGCGGTGTGTTGCGAGGGGTTATCAATACAGTAGAAAATGGAAGAAGCGAATCGCTTCCACATTGCGCATGGACTTATAACAAAGATAGAAACTAGTCAAAACACACGAAGGATGCCCTCTAAAACTAAAACAATGTCACAATGATTAAACTAGACAGGCATGATATGCCTAATTTAAATTCTATTACTAATAGCTTGTAAACATGCAAAATCTTACACGTGTGTGTTTTCAAATTATGTACCCACATTGAAGGAATTTAGTAGCTAAAAAAGGCTCATGATCGGCGCCTCAAAGCGTCTCATTGAATCCGTTATAGTAGACATGAACGAAGCGCTCATATCAAAGGGCAAACTCCGATCAACTGGTTGGTCGTAGCTTCCGACTTTTTAAGGGATAGGGGGGCATGACGACAGCTATTGATTTCAAGTGGTACGTTGACTAAATCTAGCCATGCACAGATCAGATTTTCCCACATTCCACCAGTTGATGGCAGTTATCGATATTTCAGTTGCTCTCAGATTCTAAGAGTCATAACTTACCACACAAATTTTCTTGACCAGTATCAAGTACTGTCATAGTAGGATGTAAGCACGTGTAAAATAATGCCCATGTTACTAAAAAATAAATGGTACTTACCACGTCGCAATATTTTGGACAGCGAACGTCGTAATGTCGTGCAGTTCCATTTTCTCGTACGAAACTGGTATTGACATTCCATTAGCGCTACTTTAGCTCCCTTTGCCACTTCTTCGACTATTTCCGGCTCTTTCCGGCAAATGGCACGTTGTTTGCCGGCGAGTCGACGAGTTTTACGACATATGCTGTTAGTATCCATTACTAAGGGGCTACCCACTGCCCTGAAAGAAAAAACAATGACCTTTGACATTATCGCTCATTGATAAAAATATACACCCGGTCCATGCGTGTTGAAAATATCTTAAAAGTTGGATATCGCAAAAGAGTTGAACAATATCGCTATGCTGTCTGACAACTTTGACCATAAGGAGGGCAGTGTGACGTCAAGCACTGTTTTGTATTTCTTAGTTAGGACACTATAGTCTCGTACGGCGGCAACCTAGACATCTATACAAAGGCATTGTCTAATTACAGAACTCTGGCTTTCAACCGCCATGAACACATAGCTAATAAATCTTGTAGATATATCATTTGTACAGAATGGTGTATTGTAGATAAGCTTGTAGAATTACCTTCCACAGGCTATCACGTGTTTCGACAACCATACAGGTGGAACAACAACATGTTCAAGTAACCGACAAATAGTTAACTTACAACAAATACCAGACAAGATATGCAACTGCTTGTAATTTGTTATAACGAAATAGAGTTTTACGTCGTAATTCAAATGAATAATATGTCATAAAGAACCGTACTTGGTAACTTTTATAAAGTTGTTATCCCATTAGAGAGTTCGAATTGCTTTTTATGATATTTTATGATTTATTTAGATTAACTTGTTATTCATTTAGAGTGTGAAGCTAATTATTGTTATTTAACACGCCGGGGTGTAAGCGGTATCGTACTTAACGTTTAGAGTTGTTATTCTATCGCTCACATCCCGAGTTCCCGTATTTATTAATGTTATTCTAGTATTTTAGTTTGTCAAATTGTTATCTTCTAAGAGTGTGCAGGTAATTATTGTTATGTATCATTTGGAAGTGTTAGAGGCACGCGACACTTGAATGAAAAATTGATCACAAGAAGGAGCTCTTGAACATATCTGAAGATTAGTTGAAGAGCCCTCGATAGTAAGATGGTTTTGTTAACTTGGTGGTTAAATCTTGGACCAAAGGGGATGACTTGTTATGCGAGATAATATTAATATGCCCTTTTTGCATAAGTCGAAATGACTTCCGGATACAGTTTAATACTCTAGAGGCGACAGGGCCTTGCAACTTAAAAAAAACATCGTTTTCTTATCCTTCTGCAGCTCGAAGAAGTGCTCAGTTTCTAGCACAAAGGGCCTTTTTTTATTGTCACATTCGATCCACATGGAGTTTTTTGCTATGTCGGCCCCTGCCTCATCACGAGCAAGCCTCAGAGTCACTGTGGATTCTAAGAAACGAAGCGATAATTACCATAAATAAATAAAGGTGTATCGTAGACAAACAAGTTTTCAACACGAAATGAATAACAGGAATATTTTTCTTTATAGGCTACTTAACCCTGTCTTTGATTCTTAATTGGAACCGTGGAGGTCTGCAGGAATATTCAACATATGTTTTATGGTTTTGATTGCCTCGGTATTCCAAGTCCCGAGAGTGTCAGAAATCGTGTTGCTTTTGTATTGTTTTTTGAAAGTAATATCTTTTTGAGTTCCATATTGACGAAATGCTTCAAATTAACAGGCGCTGAGATAATCTTTCTCCCGTTGATCATAAACCTATATATTTTTGTTTTTTAGGAACTATAAAGATATAAAGATCACGTGTTAGAATGTCCTTTAGTCTAACTCTCCTCCGCGAACATAATCATGAAAAAATACGTGGTACTCTAAATGAGATGAAATAAAATCGTAAATCGTAAAATCATCCGGCAAATTTTGTGATTTGCATACAAAAGTAACAATATAAGTTGGAATATAAACGTAAAATTTTTGTGCATTTATTGACAATGATAAAGGGTCTAAAGTATCCCCTTGTCTTACTCCATCGCCCAAGTTGTACATAATCGTAAGAAAATCCGCGGCTTAGCGAAATTTTACATACAAAAGTAATTAAACGAGTACAAATGTAAATGTAAAATTCTTTTTTAACATTAGATAATGATATAGGCTTATTCCATCGCCCCACTGCAGGACAGCATCGTAAAACAAATTTGCGGGAAATTCTGAGACAAATTTTTAGTGTGTGATTTGCATACAAAAGTAATAAATCAAAGGAATGAAAATGTAAAAATATAGTATATTTATATACATGTATAATGATAAAGTATCTAAAGTGTCCCCTTGTCTTACTCCACCGCTCAACTTTTACAAAATCGTAACACATCTGCATCCAAATTTTGTGTGTGAGATTTGCATACAAAAGTAATAAAACGAGTGGGAATGTAAATGTAAAAATCTTGTATATTTATAAATAATGAAACAGGCCATGAGGTATATCTCTATCCACGTCCAAATACCTTCAGTAAACACTGATTTTCTTTCATCTTGGCCACCTCAATCTCACCGTAGGGGATTGTTGTCGGTTTTGAAAACTAAGAAATACTTGACAAGTACTTGGTTTGCTTGTTTAAAATAAACACCAATAAATCAAGGGGAAGTGAAATTAAATTCTGATTTATCTTTTCGCGATCTATGTCAAAGTCTTCGCGCCGTAAGAAATTTCTGCTAACATCCATGAAACATATAGTACAGCGTATGGACGTTTTTGACGCTTTCGACTTTCGCTGATTTCCTCATTCACTACTGACTTGTCCCATCATTGATGATTTCCGCTTTCACTACAGTCTTTACATTTTCAATCATTGTTGAATTTCCCCCATCATTGTTGGCTTTTTCTCATCGCCCTATTTCAATCATTGCTTCCCCGCCATTGCTGAATTCCACATCATTGCTGAATTATTGCGTCTTTGCTGACCTTCCCATCATTGCTGAACTTTTCCTATCATTGTTGACATCTTCGAATCATTGCTAATCGCTTTTAATCATTTTCTTCGTTGCTGACTTTTCAACCATTTCAAGCCAAATATCACCCTATTCTAACATCCATATTATATTTTCACCGAACCACTTAATAGTGCATTTTGCCAGGTTGCCAAGTAAATATTGTGTCGGATTTTGACGATTTATGGTCTTCTGTCTGGGTTTAGTTGGGATTTAAAATTCTCCACAATCCTCAAATGTTTCTGGAATGGTTATGCTTTTATACTTGGTTCTGCCATCTTAGCTATGAATTCATTTGTTTATTTCTGATAATTTCTGAAACTATTTGTGCTTTAAATTATTTTTACCAAGAATTTGTACCTGAAAATGCAATGATATGGAGTTTCATTGAATTTTTCTCCGAAAACGTGGAAGGCTTAACATTGAGAGAAAACTATTTTAGTCAAACTGTGGCATTAAACTCTCTTTTTTTCATTTCCATCTGTCGATGAATCTTTATTAACTTGGTCTTGGCTTAATGTCAATGGCAGTTCTTCAAATTTGCATCAGACGACCAAGTTCGCGAGAAAGCGACCAAAACCCTTAGAAATATGGTATTCTCCTTGTAACTCTTGTATTTATATTTTCGGATATTACCAGCAGTATTTGATAACATTTAACCCAAGCGTTATCACTTACGGTAACCTGTTACTTTTTTAACCACCTTGCATGTAATTTATAAAATCTGATAGAATCAGGTAACATCCCTAAAGGGTATTTAGGCACTCATCGTAGCTCACGCCTTCTCGATTCTTTCATTTCAAGAGCCCAGAGTTTCGGCCTCTCAGATTGCACGCCTGTGGACTATCGAACGCCTGTGGTCTATAAATACAATATCAAGTGTTTATGAAACACCGATCCGTTTATATCCTATACGGCATTCTAATATTGAAAATAAAAATATTTTTGGCGCGATTCTTTGGTATTGACGAGTACCAGCTCGCGGTCATTGTGTCTGGTGCTTCTCTTTTAAACAGCTCGTGTTTTCGCCGCCCTTTCACAATCCATTGTTTATAATAGAAGAAACTTAACACGGCGTACACGTGCTCTTCACGTTACGTAAGAAGATGAAATTAATTGTATGCTGTTATCTTGTAAAAGTAAAAAAAAACATGGCGGAAGTGTGGTCTATTTGTATATCAGTTACTAAGTACCGTCTACGTCGTCATTTTGATAAATGAACCTGTTAATTAGCAATTGTTCTTGTCAGAGTCACGAGAACGTTCAGAAATTATAAGTAGACGTAAACAATTTTTGATTGGTTTGTATAAATAGGTGACCAATCACCGATATGACCTTTCATATCCGGTTGACCGGGCCTTAATAGTCGTGGGTAATCAAACACGACCTTAGTGACTATTACGTCTGTCTGCTACTCCTAAAATCTCTTATTCTCGAAATTATCTTGCATTTTCTAATTAATTTTCTTCAAGAAATTATCAGGAAGCGACCAGAACCGTAATACCGAGCCAGAACTACTTGATTTTAAATCTAAAATGATAAAAGTTAAGTAGTTACATGTTTTTTGAATGGAATAAGAATTTCTTTGAATGAAGCGAGGTGTGGCGGTGCCTCTTTGTTTTATTTTAGTTCGATTCAATAAAAACATCATTTTTATTTTGAATTTGAAAATGATATTATATGCTTTGTGGACTCTCTTATTTAATGCGATATTGACAAACAAAAATAATTGAATGATTAGCCAAGCAGAATCTTATACAAGATTGACAAACGAAATTGATAAAATTAACCACGTAAAAGCTGTTAAGATGAAGCCGAATTGACAACCCAAATACCCCAAAACGAATTCTATTTTAGCGAAATGGTCTCTTTTAATTGAGAATAAAAAATAAAATTATATTATTAGCCGTTTGGACTCTAATTACACTATACCACATTGGACAACCGATATACCAAATGATATTATTAACCATGTGTCTCTGAAATGATGACGAATTGACAGCCATCAATATCAAAATGATGTCTATATAGACTCTCAGAAAATTATGTCAACTTGACGAAGCCAATGGAGAAATTAGTCGCCTTTGGTTCCAGAATTTTGACATTTACCAATTTTGAAATTTAGTCCCAAACTGGCTTAAAACTGGTGGTAAACTTTTAGTTAAGAGCCCTTCATTTTAACAAAAGTCAAAAAAAAATATGACTGTTGTTGTAACAGTAACTGTATATGGTTATTTTTCGCTCACTTTAATTTTAGCATATTAAAGTGATACAACGTCTTAGAATGAATATAACATTTAAGTTCTCAAGAATGGTCAATAAGAGTATATATTCATTAGTGAACTTACCTGTTGTCATAAAATTACAACAGAATCCCGGCCAAATCTGGAAAATTGGAAAATTCATAAGACTTAGTAATTATTGAAAAACGCTTAATTTTGATATTAAGAGTTTTTCAATAGTTTATTGCATATTTATGGATAATTACTAAGTGTTATTAAATGACAGCAGGTATATCTACTGATGAATATATGCGCTTATTGGCAAAGTTTAAAATTCTTAAATTTTATGTTCATTCTAATACGTAGTATTCCTCTAAAATATTTTTGTCAAATAATAGCCTTCTTAAAGGGCCTCGGAATATTGTCTCATCGGAACGCTCGTCAGCTATTCAAACCTGCATTACTGACAAAGGAAAATCAGGCTGAAAAAAGGCCAAGTTACTGTGTCAATCTTTGCACGGATTGATCTAAGAAACTCCTAGGTTTGTGGACAGGCGTTGAATAACACAGGAAACTTTCAAACTCCCGGTCTTAATTTAAGTTGTGATGTATTGTTCTTTTGTGGAATTCTGTTTAAATTTGACTTTGTGACACTTTGGTATTTCAAGTTATGTTCCTAATTTCATAGTTCAAGCTCGTAGGTGGTTTCATGCCGATTAAGTAGCTTATTACAGTTCCTGGGTATAAAAAATGCGATTTAATTATGAAGTACATATTGTTGTGCCTTTGAATTACTTTAGATAAAATGTCGAATTTTTGCGTTTTTTTAAATTCCAAATTGGACCTTCAATATTCGTTCGATGGACTTAGTTTACTGTTTTAATGGGCAAAATAAACTATTTGGCGATTGGAAAGATTTCTCTTATTTTCTTTCTCATTTATATACAACTGGTATATTTGCTTTTGCAACATGAATGTCTTCAGAAACCAAATAAGGAAGAGAAAATTACGACGCACAACTCAGATTCATTTTTTTTCTAGACGATATAGGGAATGATGCGGACATGTTCGGTCTTGTTTGGGGTCTATTTCTGTAAGATCTGAGGAACCGATTTAGAAACATCTGAGATTAGAAAGGGCAAACCACCAACAAGTTTCCCACTTTGATGACATACAAGATAAAGGAACATATTTATGGTTTTCTTGGTCCAACAATGGAATTGTATTCAAATATAGAATCGAAAACTAAATTTGCAGTGACTCAGTCAGTTAGACGCTTGCTCGTTTACCTAAGGGGGAAGGAGGGGGGTGTTACCTGCTTTGATCTTCGCATAGGTCGTGCTAATTTCATTCTTTCAGTAATAGCTTTGATAGAAATTTGTCCTCTGAATAATAGTTTGGTAGGTATATGCCTATTTCCTCTTTATAATTTGAATAATAGATTTGATAGGTATATGTCAGCTTCCTTCTTGTGATATGAATAATGATTTTGTAAGTATATGTCAAGTTTGTCAAATTAATAATTGTTTTGATAGGTATATGTCAGTTTTCTCCATTCTTCTTGTGATACGATTAATATGTTTGGAAGTTATATGTCAAGTTCATTGTGATATGAATAATTGTTTTGAAAGGTATATGTCAGTTTTCTCCTTGTGATATGAATAATAGTTTGGTAGGTATATGTCAAGTTTCTTTTTGTGATTTTAATGATAGTTTTGATAGTATATGTCATTTTTCTTCTTGTGATATGAATAATTGTTTTGATAGGTATATGTCAAGTTTCTTCTTGTGATTTGAATATAGCTTTTTTTGATAGATATATGTCAGTTTCGCATTGTGATATGAATTATTTATTTGATCTTAATTTCAAGTTTTTTCTTGTGGTTTAATGACTGTTTTGATATGTCGAATCTCTTCATGTTCTCTGAATAATGAATTTTACTGGTAAACATGCTAATAAATTTTATATGTCAGTTTTCTACGTGAGATTTGCAAAATGTTTTCCATTTTTTTTTTAAAGTGTTCTCCTTTTGATATCATTGGCATTATCAAGAATGCATTATCAATGTTATCAAACAAAGACTACTCGTCGATTACATGCTTAAACCAATTACGACTCAATTTGTGTCAATAAAGAAATTACCCCAATTCGTTTTTCTTTGATGTCCTTTTCGCTACACGCGTTAGACACATATTTATGACGTTTTTGAAATGTTATACATTGTCATTGATACCTCGACAGGGCGGAGGAGGTCAAATTCAACACCAGATTCGATTTATTTTTAGAATTATTGAAATATTTTCCCAATTACAATTTGTCGGTCATGTGATAGAGTCTCGCGATGGCGTTTCTAAACCTTCTTTTTGTAATCGTCATAATCCGAAAACTCTTTTATCTTTTGTCGGTTTGTATGGGAGTTAATCCGTGTTAATTCGTGAGTAAACCGAGACGCTGAAGTGAACTGTTTGCATAAGACATGTAGAAGAATGTGATATTGACTGGATATTAGAGTTGTATTAGTTCTGGATGATCCCGACTAACTCTACACCTACACAAGGTACAAGTTTGTGTTGGTACTTGAGACTCAGCTGCGAGGTGCTAAGTCTTTGCGGCGAGACACAGTTCAAATCCAACCAAAATATGACTCAAGTCTTTTGTTCGATGGCCAGTGTACTCTAGAAGCGACGACGTTTTTTGACCCGACTCGTTCAGTTCGTGGGAAACGGTCTATGCATGCAACGCCTCTCGCTTAATTGTGACGTCAACAAAAACAATCATGCGATGAAAAATACATTTAATGAAACGCCTTACTATGATGCCGATTGACCGAATATTCAGTCGAGAAAAATGACCCATTGATGCATTATTAACTATGGAGTGTGTCTTGCAGTGTGCGAGGGACATAACTATGACATAACTTAACCTTTCTGATGTCCTAACTGTCGTGGCATCTTAAACAAACACTACGCATATAGGTTCCCAGTTAAGGTCCCAATGGAATAATACGACGCATTCAATCGACCAGACCTCTAGCTGCAGAAAATAGGATTAAAATTCAAACAATTGCTATAATTGAACCCCAACCCCATCACTATTTCTATTCCATATCATTATATCAGCAAATTAGTTATATATGAAATTTATTTGCTCCATTGACTAATGCCTGCAATTAATGTGCTGTCTGGCTTTGTGAACCTACTTCCAATATCTATCACGGTTTGGTTGAAAAGTTCTGAGGCACAGGATTAGCCTTGAATTGGCGAGTCAAAAGACCCCTGGAATTGTAAACTAAAATAGGAAAAGCTTCGAAGGCACAACATTAACCTATGGCGTGATTAGGGATCGACCCCCATCCTTATATAAGCGAGATAAAAGACCGAAATGTAAACCGAATACGGACAAGCTTTCAAGAAGGCACAACATCAAAAGACCGCTGGATAGAAAAGCTTTGTATGTAATTGTGAGCTGGATCCAGAAAACCTTCCAAGCGATTGGCGATCGAACCCCAAATCTTTCATTAGAGAGTCAGATACGATCGCAACAGAACAGTCTACTGCATGTCTGCAGACGGGACTTGATAATAACACTAATAATGTTTTTAAACTGGTTAACCCTCGCTACGAGCAGTTATTAAAATATTAATTTGATTAGTCTGTTTTATTCCAAGTATTTCATGACTTTCTAAGAGGTAATTCCCTTGTAATTATGGAAGTTTTTCAAATATGTCATATTGCTACATACAGGCATGTAGAATGTTAATTTGATACAACCACCCGAATAACTCTACATTGTTGTCTTCTTACTATTTACGCAAGGAAACTTATATGAGTTTTACGTCTAATTCTAGCACCATCATCAGAGCAATGAAGATAGGCAAAGTGATATATTGTACAGTAAGGGTGTTAATGGTAGAACAGTATCATTAGCCTATTAGGGTATTATTGTACTTTAGAAAACACAGCGATATCTAATGGAGTTTTAGTAGAGCAATCATATTTTTTGTTATAGTTATAGAGACTTTAAGACCCATTTAAGCATCTTATTGTGTTTATGAAGACGAACAAAAGCAAAGTAGTGTGCAACGGGAGGAATTTTACCAAGTCATCAATTACGTCCACTATTGTTAACCGTACTAGAAAATCAATAATACCCACAATAAGATAATCTACTTTATGTCCAATGCTTAAAATCCCTTATACCAGCTTGGTCCATTTCCTCTAGGACATTAAGAAATGAAAAAGTATATTCCACGGGCTCATAATGTCACACAGTGGTATATCCCCTGCCCACACTCAACCCTATTCCACTTATCTCCCACGAACTCAACCCTATTCCACCTATCTCCCACGAACTCAACCCTATTCCTCTTATCTCCCACGAACTCAACCCTATTCCATCAATTTCCCTCAAAGCACTAAACACATTTACCTGAACAAACCGATATGTTCTCAAAGATATGTTTTGGACACTCTCTTCCATCCAAAGACCTCCCACGCATTAAAAGACATCTCATGGGTTAAAATTACCACCCATTCATTATAGCCCTGGAAAACTAAAATAAGCACTAACTTCCACAAACCGATAATGTTCGCAGGGACTGCTTTATATCCCCCTCCCTTTTCATCCAAAGAACCCCCAAGCATCAAAATCCCCACCCAATAAATTCATACTCCTGGGGCACTAAAATAATAAGAAACACTCACCACCACAGACCAATAATGTTCGCAGGGAAAATGAGATAGAAGTATAATCCAATCAAAACACCCTGTACACGCATCGCTATCCACGATTCTTTTTTTCTCTTGTCTCTTGTCTTTTCCTCTGAAAGGTCAATGATCACTTTTTTGATTAGATCACTTGGTAGTATCACTTTAATTTGATTATATAACTGTGCTAATATCACTTTAATTCGATAGTATCACTTTGATTTGATTGATTATCTCAGTTGGATGGTATCACTTATAATTTCAAATTTGTATCGCATTGATTTTATTATATCACTTGAGTTGATAGTATAAATTTAATTGATCGTATCACTTGATTACACCGATCGTATCACGTTGATTTGATCACGTACTTAGACTGTAATCACCAAGTTTTGTTAACTTTATAATCCCAAAAATCAGCATCAGATAGAAGTCAATTTATACACAAAACATTTTAACACAACAATCGCGATGTATGAAATTTCCAAATTGGAACATCTAAACACAAAATAAATCCAGGACTTAAATTTGACACGGTTAATTTTAAATCAGTTTTTAATTTCTAGACACTTTAATAAAATTAGAAGAACTAATTAAAATTTTGGAAGTTGAATTTGAAGAATTTTCTTGTTTGTATAATTGATGCCAATCCAAAAGAATATAAATTCTCCAAGACGAATCAGGAATATTTATGGAAATTGAAGATACGGTACCTATTGCCAGAAGTTAAGCACTCAATTGCCAAATGAATAAAGAAATAGATATAATCACATTGAATGAAAATTGAAATGCCGAACTTCTCAGACGCGTCTATACTAAGAACTTGCATCGATGCATCAACACCGAGCCAAAATTATTTTTTATAACTTTTTGTGAGTTGTGTAAAATGGGTATAGGCAATAAAAATTTCAATATTGGTTCATTTAGTTGAATGTAATTTATAAAGAGGTGGGGTTTATCCCACCTTCGTTTTACATTGTGAACTCAGTAGAGTTAAAACACTGCCCACTCGTTTTTTTTTCTCTTAGCATGGGTCCAGAATCCTAATTCTGAATGACGTTTCCACTATCGCAATGCCGTTCCAATTTGAACTTAATTCGGTGGAAAATTTCTTCGTTGTAGTGACTCCCATTTCAAAATTTCGTCGTTGATTCGCATTAAATGTATGACAAATCCCTCAATCCGTGTGTGGCCATCATAAATCGTGAAATCACACGTTTGATTTCGACAAGCAGCGATCTGGAAAGGTCCCCTTCTTTTTCTGAAAGCACATAAAAAAGTAACAAATATGTTTATTAGTTTTCACAGTCAAATTTCAACATAAAATATTATAGTTATTCGCCCTTAGATGAAAGGGGGTATATTCAATGAACTTAAAATCTTTTTTTCCATTTCCATGAAAACTGTAGCCCTACCGCATAAAACTGCTAGAGATAGCCACGTTGATAGGCAAAATGCTACAAAAAATCTGTCTACGTAATGCAAGAAAAACGATGCACTATAGTGATGCAAATTCGAAATTTAAATCTAACAAAAAAAAACTTATTAAAGATCTAGGAAACATCATCGGAAAAAACACAAACGAATAACAACCACAAAAAAATTATCACAAAAACAACATCGTTTTAGTTAAAAAGATATTATTCTGATTGACTATAGGTAAAATATTAATTCTAAACCAATTCTGAAAATATCAAAATCTAGAAAATACAAACAAACAAATACAAATTGGAAAAAATGATATTGAAAATCTAGAAAATATCAACGAAAACTTAATTTGATTGTTACCATTTGATTTAATGTACTTTTCCTATTTTTATTGTAAAAGTTATGCTTATTCAAGTCAATTTATTCGAAAAGCGTATTTTATTTAAAATAAAAACAGAAATCAAATATTATTTTATAGAACTATTTTGTTAAAATTGAATGAATCTTATTTTCTCATGTAATTTTGTACAATGGCCACTCAATACAAACGAGTGAACTAATCCGTAGAGAAAAAAAGAAACCTACATCGAATGTGATTTTGTGAGTTGTATTTTAATCGTAGTGTACTCTTAACAAAAGCGAAAAGTCAAAACTGCATTAAACTGGACTTACTGTAATATCCGTAACATTCGGAAATTCCGATTAAATGACATAGGTAATGCATGCAATAAAATAGCTACTTAATTGTTACATATAGCCTAAAATTACCTAGCAAATTTCTCCTTAAAAGCGTAGACAAAGGACAAAACAAGACGATAAAAGTTATTGTTTGTATTGAAACAGACAGGACAATAAAATTGTTGGGGTGGTGTTATTCACTTTTCAACAATATATTGTTCAATTAAGACGCTTTAACTCAATTTACAGAGAAAATAGGGGTGGGGCAATGACTTTTAATTAATTTTGAATTAACTTATGGACTACATTAGCTGAACATTTTATGAAGTTTCGAATATGTTGCTCTTGAAGTGTAACTAAAATTTCGAAACAATATTTGATTGGATAAATTAAATTTCTTACTCTGTAACATTTAGATATTACAGCATTTTGTAACGAAGTTTATATACGTTGAAATGAGTTTTTTCCCTATGCAAATGTCTCACAACGTTTCAAAAATATTACACTTTTACACCTAACGCAGCATCTTGTTATGCTTTTAAGCCAGAAGGTCTTGTTTACGGCAGCTCTCGGAAGTTTCTGTAACGCTTCAGGCTTCAGCTACTTGCAGACCATTAGCGAAATGTCCAATATGGACCATTTTATCGTCACATATAAGATTTTAGGAATTCAATAAAATTAAAGAAGTACACTACACACAAGCATGTTAAGTTTCTCTCCTTACTATAAATGAAATTCACGAACGTGGGTGATATTTTGGTTTGTTTCGTTCTCTTTGAAGTTTTTAATAAATGGCTAAATTCCTCGTCTATTTAAATAGATGTATTATATTGTTCTTTCGGGTTGATAAAACATCTAGATCAATTTTTGTTTAGTAATTTAGATACGAAGTGCATATTGTAGGCCTATTTGAAGATATTTTTGTACCTTGGGGCCTTACTACACTTTATATCCTCTCGTTTGGCTATAAATATATCACTCTCAACATTAACTAGGATGGCTATCTTGTGTCTATCGTTAATTAATTTACTAATTTTCTAAGTGACAATTACGCCACTTTTCTGCTAATACTTAGTACAAGTGGAATAAATGTCGACCATTAATTACGTTCATATTTGGGTACAAACCGTAGCACAGTCGGTTACAGCCTATGATTTCTGACGTCATTTACTTGGTAACTTTGCTAACCCGTCTGAATTATTTAATGACACCCTCGTACTGGGTTTGCCAATGTATTCACTCAAAAGAGTCTATTTCGATATTCTAAAAGTCCTTATTTATTTTTTTTTTCGAAGTTAATTCACGAAACAATGGTGCGTGGCCGTTGTAATGAACTGCAATATTCGGTAACCCTTTAATAAACAATATCCAAACAATAACGTTTTGTTTATAAATTTAAAAACAATTTAGACACATTTATGTTACAATTTGACACAAAAGTTATATAAATTACGTTTCTTTTTATATATGGTGTGCATTTTCTCAGTCGCATGCAAATCACCATCTCTATAAGAATAACTTAAGCAATTGCCATTAATTAATAACGAATGGTAAAAAAGATAAGTTATATTTATTAACTGCATTTTGTCCCATTTTGACCTATTCTGTTAGCTACAACGCGTTTTATTTAATTTTCTACAATCCTTTTTATTTCGTTACATTTTGTCCTAAATGCTGTCATATTCTGTCCATTTTCTTTATTTTAGAGTTTGTCCTATTCTATAAGCTACAGTTTATCCTATTCTATTAGCTACAATTTGTCATATTCTATTAGCTACAGTTTGTCCTATTCTATTAGCTTTAGTTTGTCATATTCTATTAGCCACAGTTTGTCCTATTATATTATGTAAAGGATATCCTATTCTATTAGCTACAGTTTGTCCTATTCTATTAGCTATAGTTTGTCATATTCTATTAGCTACAGTTTGTCCTATTTTATTAGCTACAGTTTGTCCTATTTTATTAGCTACAGTTTGTCCTATTCTATTAGCTACAGTTTGTCCTATTCTATTAGCTACAGTTTATCCTATTATATAATGTAAAGGATATCCTATTTTATTAGCTACAGTATGTCCTATACTATTAGCTACAGTTTGTCCTATTTTATTAGCTACAATTTGTCATATTCTATTAGCTACAGTTTGTCCTATTCTATTAGCTATAGTTTGTCATATTCTATTAGCTACAGTTTGTCCTATTATATTATGTAAAGGATATCCTATTTTATTAGCTACGGTTTGTCCTATTCTATTAGCTACAGTTTATCCTATTATATAATGTAAAGGATATCCTATTTTATTAGCTACAGTTTGTCCTATTCTATTAGCTACAGTTTATCCTATTATATAATGTAAAGGATATCCTATTTTATTAGCTACAGTATGTCCTATACTATTAGCTACAGTTTGTCCTATTTTATTAGCTACAATTTGTCATATTCTATTAGCTACAGTTTGTCCTATTCTATTAGCTATAGTTTGTCATATTCTATTAGCTACAGTTTGTCCTATTATATTATGTAAAGGATATCCTATTTTATTAGCTACAGTTTGTCCTATTCTATTAGCTACAGTTTATCCTATTATATAATGTAAAGGATATCCTATTTTATTAGCTACAGTTTGTCCTATTCTATTAGCTATAGTTTGTCATATTCTATTAGCTACAGTTTGTCATATTCTATTAGCTACAGTTTGTCCTATTCTGTATGTTACGTTTGGTTGTGTCTTGTTTGTAACATTTTGTCCTATTCTTTATGTTAAATTCAGTCCTACCTTTATGTGACATTTTGCTTATCTATTAGCGACATTGCGTCACATCATACATGCTACATGAGTTTCTATTTTATTTGCTATATTTTGTCCTATTTTTTACATTTCTTCTTATTCTATTTTCTATATTGGTTTTCTTTAGTGATGGCATGCCTTCTTCATTACATTTGGTCAGTTATATTTATCTCATGTCC